AGGAACAAAGTAAATGACGATAATGCCATGCATTTGTGAATAAATGGGAACGAATATACATACATTGATGGTAAGAAGTTTAAATTGCTGCTTCAGCGTGTTTTGAGGCGGGCGATGATGATTTTGCACTTTACATATGTGCAAATTGATTGTTCTCAATGCATCTCATTGTGATTTGAATTTAATTTTCTTGCAAAACCGTCAACTTTTCAAACTATTCATTCGAGCCATGATCCCAAGATTTGGTTAGCCGCCAGGGGACATATTGCGACCTAATCAGACGTTGATGAATTGATTCAATTTCATTTTTTTTTAACAAAACAAAAATGTTGAATAGAATTTTAAATTCGAAATAACAATATCTTCGCACACTGAACGGGTTGGATTGGGTTGAGTAAATATGGATTCCATTCTTCAATTTCATAAAGACTATAGATAGATATACAATTTCACAATGTTCGACACATTCGCTGTATGAATGAATGCCATATCCAGTGTATATTTTTGAATGAACAAATGATTATATTCCCCTGGGTTGACACATTGTGGCATCATAATCATGCTTGAATTTGCAATCGAATCGTTGACATAAAATGTGAATCAAAGTGAGCACATTCAACCAAAAATAAAACTGAAATCGCCTCACTGATGGATATTTGATGTTGATGAAGAGTTTACCAACGATATTCATAAATAAGAAATTATCGCATAAAAATAACGCATCAAATGTGCTCTCGCCGATGCATTTATAATGGTGGTACTTAGTCCAAACAACGAAGCCCAAAACTTTTTCATTACAATATGCATTGTATGGCATTTGCATCCACTCAATTGTGACTATTATTTTTGTTATTCTACAAATCATGTGGGTCTTTCTCTCTCTCTCTCTCTCTCTCTCTCTCTCTCCCTCTCTCTCTCTATCTTTCTGACTTGAATATGTCTTTTTCTGTTTAACTCAGAGAACACCACACTGTGCGCTAGCTAGTCGACTAGTCTATGTATACCATACACCCATAAAATGGGAAAATGAATTTAAATGTTTATTTATTGTGAAATTCCAACATACAATTGACTTTATAATACAAAAGTCATTCGACTATGCTATCAGCAACCAAAGCTCTAGCAACACAACGAAATGGCAAATACAATTGAAAGTCTTCATATATTTGCTGCACGAATCCATGTATTTGCCCTTTGATTTGAGTGTGTGTGTGTGTGTGTGTGTGTGTGTGTGTGTGTGTCTGAGACATCCATTGGAACTGCGGCGTAAGAGTGAGAGAAAGGAATAAAGGAAGAAAAGAAGAGAGTGTCTAATAGGTGAGCTTTGAAAATCGAATAAGGCACCAAGGAATACGATATGGTCGTGTGTCGAAATACACACATACAATGCCATTTAGCAGGCAAATCGCATCGACTGAACATTCTATGCAATTTTTGCTGAACAAACGTCGCTTTGGCACACATCCGATGGTGTTTGCACTAGACGTCAACCGACAGCATTGAAGTGGTGTGAAGTGCTTACTGAAGAATGGCTCTGAATTGTGTACGCTCAGCACAATTACATGTATATCGGATTCATTTAAGTGAAAAATAAAGGATAAAGGCAGTTCTGTGTGTTATGTAAATGGATGTTTGTTTCACTTTCAACAACAATAACAATAACACCTCTGAATATGTATATATTCATGTATGCATTTAAAAAGCCAAGCAATATTATGTCAAAGGCCACCAACACACACAAATTACTCAGCATGAATCAAAATCACAAACAAAATGAGAACAGCATGTCTTTCATTTTGATGAAGGGAATCTGAGTATTAAATGAAAAAAAAAAACCAAAAAATGACAATTTCTCCAAACATTTCAAACACACCCTTCTTTGAAGAAAAAAATCCAACTAAAAATGCACAAAGTTGAACTAAATCTATAATTATGAACTCCAACTGGAATCGCAATTAAATGGCACATTATAATTAGTGCGGTAGTGTCATGGAAAAACGGGAACAAACCGAACTTTGAAGCCATCATTTAAAATTGTTTGTGGGATGGAGTGCCATTTTGCTGAGGTTTTTGGTTGCACCATTGATTTTCATGTATGGCATAAATGAAACGTGGACACTGGAAACGGGGGGAAGAGAGAGAGAGGGAAACACATGAAAACAAACACCTTAGCTATCATGTGGCAACGCATTCGCACATAGCAACTACACTCTGCAAAAGTCAATTATGAAGTGTATCGATGTATTCTATTTGTTTCGAGTTGGTTCACTTCGAATGTTTGGCACATCGAATCGATTCCCATAATATGGGTTAGCAAAATGGAGTCAACGGAAAAGTTTTCCGTTCAATGAATGAATTGTTGTAGGTGTAGGTGTGACACCAGTTCTTCGATTATTTGTCCATATACATAAACGTTTGTTGAGGATTTGCGATAAAAGGCTTTTCGATTATCGTATAATCGAGCACAATTTGAGAGTGAGATAGAGAGTGAACGAGGTGGCTCAACGCAAAAGAAGCGACATTCGAAGCGTAAGCGAGACAGGACATCCGTACGACCGAATTTCAAATCAGGTACAAAAAATGGTAACTTTCGTCCAAGCAATGGCGATGTGCAGAAACTGATATGGAAAAAGGAGATTAAGTCAATAAAATTGCTGTTTTATTCAAATTTTTCTCCGGCCGTATTTTGCATTTGGTATTGTGTATTGCAGATCCCATCGAAGTCTATCTCGATGTGAGTCGCTTCCCGAAAGGTGCACACACACACACACACCCTTACACATACACACATACAATGAATCCAATACAATTCCGGCGCAATGAACAAACGTTATTTAAATGCAAATTAACATCGGCTTACGGAGAAAGCAAATAATAATAATAATATAACAACAAAGTCTCGCATTAATTACAACTCATCCCATAATGCGTTGGAGAGACACTGCTTTTTTTCTACTTTCGATTGAGCTTGGTTGAGGTTGGTTGGTTGGTTGGTTGGGGGCTGTGTTGCGAGCACCGTCGCAAACTGCATTAATTCCGATGTGAAAATCGATTGCGAATTTCCAATCAATTCATCGATGATTCGCATCTCAAAATGCCAAAATGTCTACTTATCCGGCAAAGTAGAATGAAGACGCGCGCGCAAACACACAAGCATAGGATCAATAAAATGGTATTTGCACAATATTCCCAGAGTTGATGGGTAAGACAAGGATTTTCAATTAAACTCACTGGGTGAATCACAGGGCGCACCTCGACGCAATCCAATTTCTTTCATGTTGACGATATTCATTCTCGATATCAAATGGATAGGAACCGTTATAACCGTTCGCTGAATATGAGGTGAAGAGGTGGATAGTCGCAAAACATCAAATAACGGATCAGATTGGATTGGATCGGATCGAATCGACAATACAACGCACACAGGAAATCACATTTTAATAAATAATTCAGATGGGATTCTTCATTTATGTATTATTTATAAGAGTTCTTAAATGCGTGTGCATATGAGCATGTACTGGTTACTGGTGCTGGTGCTTGCATCGAAATCCGAAAAGAAATTGCGACAAATCTCGACAACAAATATTCGATGTGAAATAAAGAGCAAGAACAAAAAAGAGTCCATTTGTACAGCGACCCTCTTCTCATTTTCGCCAGGTACATCGAAATCCATTTCGGAAAATTTATGGCAAACTTACTTAGCAACACGGGCGTAACAACAAATAAATAAAGATTGCGTGAAGAAGTCATTCATGATGGGAAAAAAAAACACACACGCAGTCAAAATCACGGAAATGAAGAAAAATGTCACGCATTCCGGATCTAAATATATGTATGTGACTGGCAATTTGTTTGAATAGTTTTCTTTGCGCTTGACTCTGTATAAGACCGGCTTATCACCAAAATCCTTCGCATTACCTTGCCCTATTTGCCCATGAATCCAACCAAGTCGCTCAAGATGCTACAATGTTAAACAACCGGTGTTCGGCACGTGATCGTGATATATGGTAAATGTCCGAAGAGATTTTTCACCGTTCACAATGGATTTATGGGAAGGAGGTGCTAAAGATTGAACATTGCAACAAGATTGAAATCAACTTTTTGTACAATTGACATTGAAATATGTCGAATTTACATACACGTCCATCATAATGCAACTCATTTCATCATCTTACACACAGAATTATTATGGTTTCATCATGAAAAATTGTAGATAAGCAGAAACTGTTTGTCCAAAAGTTATGATAAAAGGTGGGATGGAAATGATACATTCAAAAATTAAATGGGTATAGTATTGATTTACATTCTAACGAGGAATGAAAAATGCGTTTACAAAAACATGTATACCATGCGTTGGATGTTACAAAAATATCCAACAGATTGATACATTGTTGGAATTATAAATAAAAAATGTAACCTAATTTCTGGTCAATTCACAAGGATAATAACAAATGGAACCAAAAAAAGCGATCGAATATCAAATACTGATTCCCGAATAAAAAAACGAATTCAATAATTGTTGCCTGCAGGAAATATGCTATTTGTCGTTTGAATTTCATGAAATCGTGATACGTATCAATATCAGTGTCATATATTCCACTTTCTCTCATGTTAGCAGTACCAATATTTGCGCTTTTATTTTCCATTCAATAAAAAGGATTGCTTTTATTTCGATTTAAACCAAATGCATGTATCTAATGCCATCTTATGCCCTCAATCGAAAGCTAATTTTCGAAAAATTTTGCCATGAGCTTGAAATCCATATGTAAAAATTAATTCTTGAGCATTGGCTAAAATGTTTTTGACGAAAATAAACGGAATTTTCCCATTTCCCATAGAAAATGTGTTACAAGTGTTATTTACCGCATACAATCGGTACAAAACGGTTGTGCCATCGAATATTTTCCACGAAATCGGTTTGTGACTTTGCTATAGCTTTCGGTTTATAAGTCGACGAGATGACGTTTAAAATGTCAAAACACAATTCCAATTGTCAGAATCGTCTCGGTTTCGAGGTTACGTATTGTAAAATCAAAATAAAGAGAAAAAAAATGATGACTTCGTTAACTGGGCGAATTTTTGTCAATAGTGCCAGCATTTTAAATGGTTTATACAAATCACAGTCATTTACAAAATGCATTCGACAAATGCATTTATTAACAAATCAACCGCCTATGGTTATATCACGCGTAGCAACACTTACATCAATACAAAATCCATGTTCTGCACTGAGTCCAATTGTTTACAATCCCGTACGATTTAAAAAGAACAAACGCAGCAGCAATCGAGATGAGGAGGAAAAAGATGAGGACAGTGATGCAGAAGACGGTGATGGGGATCTTAGCGAATTTAAAGAGGGTGACAAATCAGATAGACATCTTGCTCAAGTCAAAGTACAAACGTTACGACTAGACACTGTGGTCAAAGCCGGTCTTGGACTACCCAAAAGGTAAGACGACCAATGTTGTTAATTAAATGGCCAAACCTTAGCTAAAAGCACTCTCTTCTTTTCCAGGAAAATTGAGAAATTATTCTACGAGAGCAAAATTCGAATCAATGGCAAAAAAGTTGCCAAAAAATCGATGGATGTATTATGCATCGTTTCATTTTAATTATTTGTTTCCTTGAACATGAATGAAATATTCTATAAATTTTCCCTGTTTTATTTTCATTCAGATTCTAAAAGAGTGTGAAATTGACGTAATCAAAGGACCCAGCCCCGAAAATCCGGACTTTTTGTTAGTTAGTCGCATCGAAATTCTTCAAGTGAAAGCGGAGGGATTAAACTTCGTCCTAACGATTCGTCGTAACAAAAACCTCACAATCGAAAACTATGAATAGTCATTAATTTAAAGAAAAATGTGTACAATTTAAACATTGATTTGAAATTCGATATCGAAATAAATGCGTGATATTTTTTTATTGGCGCAAATTTTTGGTTAAAAAAAAACCATACCTATAGTATGAATTGCGGTGTTAAACCAAACAAAAGCTCATGATACTTGGTGACAATGGCAGCGTCTCTGTTGAAAATAGACGAAAAGAAAATTATGACTTGAATCAATTGTTAAGAAATGATAATAATTGTATCAGTACTTATAATTTGTTGACAAATGCATTAGCTTCTTGAGAATTGGTGGTGCCAGCCATGGATTGAACGCACGAATGTGTGTAACATACCCGAAAACGATCGGAAATACAATATGAATAATTTTGATTTTGTCCAATGGGATCCATGTCACAAATGATTTGATTTGTTCGTAGTAGAGCTTCCAATAAATTTCAATGATGGTAATGGCCGTATGAGAGAAAATCGATTGATCGGGATACAAATAGAAAACAAGACCGCACAGCAATGAAGCCAGCTTATTATCTTTCTTCGAAACCTCTTCACTCAAATAGATGTTACGACGACTCAACCAACAATTTAAAAACTGAAATCGATATTGATTAGATAGAAATTGAAAATAATGATAAAAATTTTCTTTCCGATAGTAATCTAGAGCATACTCTGTAAATTCCCACGTAACCAACTAAAAACAGCACCAAATTCCAGTTTAACCGTTTAAAAAAGACTTCGAAAAATTTTAACGGATTCTTCAATATTAAGCTATAGTTGTAAATGATATTCCGGGCAATCTCCAAACCAAGACCAAACTTGAAGAACTTTTTTATACCCTTGGACAATGACAATGGCAATTGAATTGAAATGTTAACGAATATTGATTGAGATATTTTTGTTTTGTTTTTTAAGAATTAGTATGAAACTCACTTCATAAATGTAAGAGTCACAATTCATTTCATGTGCACAGCATTTGATTTGTGAGCGAACAATGGGCGATAGTTTATCCATGTATTGACTCTCTTCGTAGAATTCATGATAGTCGGTCTTTGGTTTTAGCGGTTGGGTCAACCAATAAAATCGACCGCTTCGATTCTCTCTCAATCCATGCATCAGCGTTGCATTCAACAGCATGAATGCAATTGTAATTGCCCAACGGGAATTACGCAAAATTCGAAAAATATAAAAATCACCACGCAAAAGTGAAACTTGGAACGCCTAGATTTAATGAAATTCAGTGGATGAAAACCGATCATAAGATGCTTGTTGAAAATTAAATCGAAAAATGTAAGAAAATAAATAAATATGACAAGAAAGGAGAGTAAGATATCACTTACAACTGTTGACAGACCATGAGCATAATGGTAATTGGCGCGTTCAGCTAATACCCAACTGCTAATAAATGCACCCAAACCAGATGGAACGGCCAAAACAGTCGGATAGTAGAAGCATCCAAATAATTTTCTTCAAAAAATAAAACACAACGGTTTTTTATCTGATTTTTGATCGTTTTTTTTCTATTTTTCAGCAAATAAAAGCGAATTTTTAAAATTTTCAGTTCAAATTACCTGAATAAGCAAATGTTTGATAAACCCAAACCACTCACCAGCCAAGCACCCAAAAAAAAGTCGACAAACATACGGAAACTTTGCCGAAACACATCCTTATTTAGATGACGGATTTTCATAATAATTGGAATCTGATTCGATGAGAATAATTTTGGTTAATTTTTTTTATGATTGCAACTTGATTGAATTTGATATGTGTGTTTGTGTATGTGAATTTACCAGGGCCAATGGCAGCACAAACTTTGTACAACTTGCAATGGTTCCTGTGAAATTCCAGACGGTTGATTGCCAGCACGTTTCTCCCACATGAATCACTTCATCACAAGCAAGTTGTCTCGCGGCTTGTTGAAAATATTTAGAAAAAGTTGTCATTTTTTTGGGTTGAAACTTGTTTTCTCACACTCAACTCCAAAACAGTTCTATGTCATTTCGGGGAAAATTTTACCAATGCATTGCAACACATTCAATTGAATTGCAAATTTGGTGCTGAGACAAAGATGAAAATATGTTTTATGCAACACGAGTCGATTGTATTGTTTCCCCGTATGCAATATTGCTTCAAATTGAATGCATTTCCAATGAAAGTGAATTTAATTATCGTGCATAACTGATTGCAACGTATTCTCTTTGTTGGCTCAGCTTAAATATGCAAAATCAGTTGTTTTTTTCCCCTTTGTTGTTTATACGCTGCATTGCACTGACGCTCTGTTTTTTTTTGTGAATTTTAATTTTAAAATTTCTGTTATTCCATGAATCGACCTTTTTTTAACAATGCTATCGTGTATTTGCACTGCACGCAATGTTTTTTGTCGCCGAGACTTTTGGAACCGACTGTCTGATTTATAATTCATATATTTCGTCGGTTCGATTGATCAAGGGTCAAGTTTGTGTGTTTTGTATCGCGAACCAATTTAGACGTTGGCGAGAGAAGAGTGAATACAGTACCGGACCGTGTGTGTGACATAAAGATCTTTCGTACAAAATGAGTGTTTTTAGTAAATTTTTCAACGAGGCATTGGCACCTGCAACATGCCGAGATATTGTGCACCCACATACAGATAGCTGCTTCAAAGCGGCACTCGGATACTTTTTTAAGCCCATCTTTACAACGACACAATTTTTCATACCACTCTTCATGGTAAGCATTCATTATCTCACTTCTGAAGTGCTTGGATTTACTTTGTATAATCAAAAATCTTTCGCGACACACAAGATTTCGATAGCAGCACGAAAAAATAAGATCGATCAAGAAGCATTTGCTGAAATGCTGAGAAGTTTTGTGGGTGCCGTTTCAGCCAGCTTACTGACCGGCTCCATCGGAACATGTTTCATGTGCATTCTTTAGTAAGCGCATTTTTTCATCCGGATTTTTGAATAAATGAAAAGAAAAAAATTGAATTGTATCTTTTTCTGTAGTAAAATTTTTGGCCGGTTCTTTTGCTATACAATTGTTGGATTTCCTGGGTTTTTAGGTGCATTAAGTATTTTTACTGTTCCCAATAAAATCGCAATCATGTTCACTCACAGTGCTCTTGTTATGGTGAGTTGGGAAATTTTGGTAAAGACATCTTAGTCATTACTAATCTGAAATATCGTTGATAGGTGACTGAAACATTGATCAGACGACGCGGCAGCATATTCTTCAAATTATTGGATCGTGTGATTTGGTTCCGTACTTTGGTCTTTATGCTATTGAGTGCGATTACTTTGGATAGTTTACGAAAAGTGAAGCCGGATATTTCTTGGTAAATATGGCTAGAGCTACTTAAATGAGTCGATCTAATGTAATTAGCAAATTTTTTTCAGGTTTATTCAGCCAGTAAGAAGACGATCAAAACGTCGGTATGAAAACTATGATGAGAGTCCGTTATTTGATTCAATCTTCCCAGTCACTGGGAATGTCTGCAGCCATAAACTGGGATGTGACGAGTTTATATTAAATGTAGGCATCATTCTTAGAATTACACTTGTATCGCATGAATTGTAAACGAATATTTTCTTTTCGTAGGAACTCAAAAAATACTCCGAAATCGGTGTTGCCATCGCATTGCTTCAGAGCATCTTTAGGAACTTTGGTCATTTGAAACGTAACATATTCGGAGGCATTTGGACTATAATCAAGGGATTCAATCTAAAATTCATTGTGTTTGCTATTGGCTACCCGAGCGTATATCGAGTAAGACTTATTTTGAATTTCGTACAAGAAAAAAACGATTCTTCTAATTTGAAGCTTAACTTCAAATTTCCTAGAAAACATCCATTTCCTAATTCATATGATCACTTTCAGATTCTCACCTGTTTTTTCAACCGATACAATGGGTATGAGTCGAAGTTTGCCAATTACACTGCTGCATTTTTGGCCGGTGGTTTTTTCTATTTTTATCCGCAGCTGTCATTTTTAGCGTATGGCATTGCATGCACAATTGAAATATTGTGGCAACGTCTTCGTCGACATCGAAAATTCGCCATCATATGCAATGTGGATGAATTGCCATTGGCACGAATTTTCTATCCAATTTTGATGGGATTTTTATTTCATATGCGTTCATTTTTTCCATGGCAAACTCCAACACTCATCCATAAAGCGATGAAATTTGTGAAATGCCGACAGTAAGTTGATTAACAGTTGAACAAATCAATTCATTTTAAATCAACAATTTGATTGAATTTCGTTTCATTTTCCATTCAAAACGTAGCGATGAACAAATGTTGATGAATTGCTATTCATTCTTAATTCCATCACATGCTTAATTGGAAAATATCGGGTACTGTATGTTGTGACGTTGAAACTACGCTGGACTTTATTTCGTTAAAAACAAAGTAAAATGAAACTAGAACCGAATATTTAGTTATTTTGTTATTTGTTTGTCGATTTATTCTAATTTCATATATATATATGTGTATGTGCGTGTGTACGAATGCGTGCGCGCGCCATTTGAGTAACCAATGTTCATATTGAGTTCTTTGAATAAATATACTTGTTTATTGAATTTGCATATAAAATGTAGACATTTGTTAATTTCCTTACTTTGTTTCATTACGTTGGCTGTACGGCCATATGGGTAGTGCGGCTTAAATAGCAAGTAACAGCACTTAGTGTGTCAGTGCTCTTTGTACTGAAACCGAAGAGATTTGTTTGTCGTCGTGTGTTTACACTGGAAAAGTGAGTTGAAAAAAGACGAGCGCAATGGCGGCCTTGAGTAAATATTATAGTGAAATTATGCGAAATCATAATGTAACGTGTGCATATGTGCTGCATCCCAACGAGTCATGCTCGTGGTTTTTAATCAAAACTCTGCCCATCACTATATTTCGAGTGTCTCAGTTTTTTGTTCCATTATATTTTGTGAGTGCTATTTGGTTTAGAGGAGGAAAAATCGTTGATTAAAAATGGGTCAAATTTGATTTGATTGAATTTTCAGTTGCCGTTGCTTGCTAATTCAAAAAAACTCAACAAGGAAAAAGTGTACGAAGTTCTTGAGGTGTTTGTGAGCTCAGTAGTCGGCGGGAGTTTCACGGTGAGAGGAGAATTTTCGAAAGAACAAGTGAAAAAAAAACTGAATCTGAACAACAAAAAAACATCTTTTTTATAGGTCTATATAGCTTTTTTGACCATTTGCCTTTTATCGTGAGTCAATTTGAAATTCAATTTAATGAACTGCGATAGATAATTGAATCGTACGTTTTTTGGTCGCAATTTATTTTTCTTTGAATCGCCTTCATTTAACAAAACAAATTATTCGACACAATTTTGTTCAAGGACAATTTTACTAATCTATTCAAAAATCACTGATAATTTGCATGTAATTAAGGAACATCTTCGGCCGCTCATCGTTTTGGACTCTGATACCAATCCCAGCAATGACTGGTGGTCTGGCCATCTTCTTTATCAACGATAAGATCCGGAGTTTCTTCAGTCATGCCTGCTCGATTGTCGTATGTTAAAGTTTTAAGCATACGTAGGAATGTGCTACGTTTTGACGTTTTTTTTTTTTTATTTGCAGGTTTTCGATATATTGATGCGCGACGGTTCATTGTGGCCAATGCGAATGTTGAAAACACATCGATCGCTTCGAACGTTACTGTTCATGGTTCTTAGTGGTGTCATTGTGGATTCGATGTACCTAAATAGTGATTCAGTGTTTTGGCTATTTAAACCATTAAAAAAATACCAAAAACCAATCGAAAAAGTTCCGAGTGAATCGAAGCCCATTGATCGACATCACATTTGCCATCATAAAAACAGCTGTGACTCGCATATCTTACACGTACGACAAATACTAACATTTTTTTCCCATATTTTCGATTCATTTTATTAGAATCAAAATAAAGGCTGAAAAATTCCCTCAATTTTTCAGGTTTTCAAAACGTACCTAATGCTTGGAATGGCATTGGAAGTTCTCAAGGCATTCTTTGGCAATTTTGGATTATTTGTACGGAATCCTTTAAGTGGTTTCATTCACGTGATCAAGCATATAAAGCCAAATTACTTACTATTTATCGGTGGCTATCCAACACTTACCCGTCTAACAAATTGCATACTAAATAACTGGCTACAAAAGTCGACGCGTTTAAATCAGGATATATCTGCGGTCATCGGCGGTCTTCCATTCTATTTCTGTGCAAATGAAACGCCAATTCTGGCACACACATTTGCCACGGGCATAGAATCGATTTGGCATCGATACAAAAAATACTCAGATCCAGAAACAAAGACCTATCAATGGTTAACCAAAATTCCATTCATCCCATTGGTGTACATCTTTGGAGGGAGTCTAATGTATACGTCGAGACTTTTCTTTCCGTGGCTTGCTCCAAAGTTTTTGCAACGATTAATGATGCTCATCACAAATTGCAAGTGAGTAAATGTTCTGACCCAATTTTCAGCGAAAAACAAGTGAAAAAAAAACAACATTTCACATAATTTGATCGTGTTATCGTTGATTTTATATTTATAGATTTGATATCATCGGTGAAAGAGTACATTCATTTTGGATACCCGAAGTGATAATTTAAGCACGAATCAATTCGAGTCACCATTAAAGCTGTAATTATGTAATTGTTAATAGGATAAAGAATGTTACATTGAATTTTTGAATGAGGCTAGGGAACAAACCAAACAAAAAAAAAGAGAAATACTAAATGTTATAAGGAATATGAAATATTCAGTGTTTTTGTTTGTTTAGTCGACTTCTTCAATCGACCTCCTCGACAGTTGGGCCTCTTTGTGGGCCAGGACGATGATGAGACGACGACTGCGATGATTGATCGCCACCACCACCACCGGCGCCATGCAATTTTGACATAATTGGTCCGCATACTTGTTGCAATTCTTTCAATTGATGCTCGAATTCCTCTTTTTCGGCCAAATTATTTGCATCCAGCCATGACATTGCCGACGAGCATTTATCTTTAACGGTTTGTTTATCGGAATCGCTGAGTCGATCAGATGGAGCATCTTCAACGGCTTGTTTGCAACCGAAAATGTAAGTTTCCAATTGATTGCGCGCGACAATCTTTTCCTTTTGACGGTCGTCTTCTTCACGGTATTTTTCTGCATCGGATAACATACGATCGATTTCGGCCTTTGACAAACGGCCTTTGTCGTTGGTAATTGTGATCTTCTCTTGACGACCGGTGCTGTTATCCTTGGCCGATACATTCAAAATACCGTCAGCATTCAAATCGAATGTGACCTCGATTTTTGGAACACCCCGTGGCGCGGGTGGGATGCCGTTCAAATTGAATGTGCCCAAAAGGTTATTGTCTTTGGTCATGGCACGTTCACCCTCGTACACTTGAATGGTAACGGCATTTTGATTGTCGCTGTAAGTGGTGAACGTTTGTTGTTGTTTGCATGGAATGCGAGCATTGCGTTCGATGAGTTTGGTCATTACTCCACCAGCCGTTTCGATACCCAACGACAATGGTGTAACATCAACTAGAAGAACATCTTGAATCTTTGAACTGCCTTCGCCACTCAAGATAGCTGCTTGCACTGCGGCACCATAAGCAACCTATACATTATTATTTTTTTGGAAATAATAAATTTTTAAACACAATTTCTTCAAGGAGAATTAAATGTGAGCAAGATACTTACCGCTTCATCTGGGTTGATCGAAAGGTTTAATGCTTTGCCGCAGAAGAAATCTTGAAGCATTTTTTGGATTTTCGGAATGCGAATTGAGCCACCGACCAGAACGACTTCATCGATTTTTCCCTTGTCCAATTTGGCATCGGTCAACGCTTTCTCGACCGGTTGCAATGTTGAGCGGAACAAATCCATGTTCAATTCTTCGAAACGAGCTCGAGTGATTTTGGCATAGAAATCAACGCCTTCATGCAATGCATCAATTTCCAATGAAGCTTCTGTGCTCGATGAAAGTGTTCGCTTAGCCCGTTCACAAGCCGTACGCAAACGGCGCAAAGCACGTGCATTTCCAGTCAAATCTTTCTTATATTTGCGTTTGAATTCCTCCACAAAATGATTGACCAGACGATTGTCAAAATCTTCACCACCCAAATGGGTGTCACCAGCTGTGCTCTTTACTTCAAACAATGAACCCTCGTCAATCGACAGAATTGACACATCAAAAGTACCACCACCCAAATCGAAAATCAACACATTCTTCTCACCCTTCAAGTTTTTATCAAGACCATAGGCCAAAGCGGCAGCCGTTGGTTCGTTGATGATACGCAATACATTTAGCCCAGCAATTGAACCAGCATCTTTTGTCGCTTGACGTTGCGAATCGTTGAAATAAGCAGGCACCGTGATTACGGCATCTTTAATTTTACTGCCCAAAAATACTTCGGCAATTTCGCGCATTTTCGTCAAAACCATCGAGCTAATCTCTTCCGGTGCGAAAACTTTACGTTCGCCCTTGAATTCCACTTGGATTTTCGGTTTTCCACAATCATTGATTACGGTAAACGGCCAGTGTTTGATGTCATCTTGAATTTTCGGATCGTCAAATTTACGGCCAATCAAACGCTTCGCATCGAATACCGAATTTTTTGGATTCATAGCGACCTGTAAAAAAATCACAGAGAGAAAACAAAAAAATTATGACAAAACGAACGAACGAATTATGTCATTTACGGCGTACACATAGTAAATAAAACATGAACCGACGGATTCTCTATTATACAAAAACAGTATAATGCCATAAACGAACGCGCGCGCGATTCGTAGCATGTTTCGAAATTTGATGTCATTGTGAGTAGGCGCTCGCCGATTTGCGTTGCTGTTGCTGTTGCTGCTCTACCTGTGTCACAATGTCAAATTTAGAATCGCCAATTTCATCGCATCGAACACAATCCAATATCAAATATATAATGTTTAGATTAGGTGAACATGGTTCGAATATGCTTATGCGTATATTTGATTTTTAGGAGAAGAAAAAAAAGACACACGCACTGGATGATACTCCCGAAAATTTAGCGGTTACGTGGAACCAAATTGAAAGCTATTTTTAAAAGATTATGTTGTTGCATGTAAATCGTGGGTGTTGCTCATATTGCGCGAGTGCTACTTTGAATTTTCCTCATTGAATTCATGCTAGAGAGAGAGAGAGAGAGAGAGAGAGCGAGAGAGAGCGAGAGAGAGAGAGAGAGAGAGAGAGAAATGAAGCGCCGAAAATATATGTATATATATCCATCGAAATATATGAATAAATATATCAACAAATTACGAAAATAGAATCGGTTTACTCATCCATTGAAACTGTGCGTCATGTTATGTTAGGCTTTTTTTTCGCTTCATACTTCTACATTCGAGAAATTTCGCGTCCGTTCACAGATCACACGCGAAATTCAAAACAAACAGCAAACAATCTCATATATGATTTTATATAAAATTGTCTATATACAATTGTTCAGGTTCATTTGTCGTCCGTACTTTTATGATTGGTTGCGTTATTTTACGGAAATTCAATTCGAAGTGCCCATAAAAATTCGTTTGTGATCTCCGCTCAATCGATACCATATGGACTATGTACATGATGTGCTATGCGTATAACATTTCATTGACAATATCATCGCATAAACAGCGAGAAAACAATCAGCAAACGTTGTGTTTCAATCAAGATAAAGATGAAAAAACACACTGTGCACATCGTGATGAGTGGATGTATGGACTCTAAGAATAAATTGTTAATTAGAACATTTTGCGGTTTTTGCTTAACATACGTCATAGTAACAATTAATAATTCATTAATTGTTTGGCCAAATTCTAGCAGCAGCTACAATAAAACGAACCGAAAAAAGACGTGGCCTGTAAATTGTGCTCTCTCTCTCTCTCTCTCTGTGTGTGTGTGTGTGTGTGTGTGCGTATATTTCGGATTGACCATGTATACCAGCACACTAATGGCTTATTTATTGTTCTGAATAATGCATTAGTATCAATCTCATTGGCGAAAATGCAGCACCAAAAATGGTCAAGTACACGAAAACCTCGATTGTCATCAACAGTGCGACAAACATCAATTTCATGCTCAACATATGCTGCTGCATTATTCACGAAGCATCGCTAAGGGCATTTGTGTGCGCATATCATCAAATGCTTTTCTCGAAAATCAAATACAGCGCAAACAACAACATCAACATTGAGAGAAAAAACACCTAAAAATGCATCGTGCATTTTGATCCAGCGCGCTCGCACTCGCGCTCGTGTTGTTCATGACACACTAAAAAAAACATAACAAATATTTCCATTTCGATTGGGTTTCGTGTCGCTTACCTGATTTTTTGCGGCATCACCAATTAAACGTTCGGTATCATTGAATGCCACATACGATGGTGTTGTCCGGTTTCCTTGGTCGTTTGCAATGATCTCGACTTTTCCATGTTGCCAAACTCCCACGCACGAGTATGTCGTTCCCAAATCAATACCGATTGCCTTTGCCATTCTGTTCGCTTAATTTGTTCTACAAATGAAGAAAAAAGCCACACAATTTTTGTGATAAAGAGTCCGACCCAAAATAAAATGTTAACACATTTTAATTTAATTGTTAAATGAACGGCGAATTTTCATGAAATTGCCAATTTCAAATTGGACTTTTTTTCCATTGAAATATCTGCTCTCTTCAATTTGAAATTTCGATGGACTTTTTTTTAGGAAGAAAATGAAATTTTCAACGAGAAAAAAAACGCAGGAAAACACGGAAAAAAATTTCTTCACAACAAAAAACACTTAATTTGAATTGAATAAATATTTTAATTATAATTTTAATCTTATCATCACCAAAATGTTGATGCTCACACAAAATGCTTGAATAAATTCCAAATGTGTTACGTTCGGAATAGTCAACGTTTACTATGTGGCGCGCACCTTGTATTCACCGGCAAAATCGTAATGAAACTAATCGAAAAGCGTCAGTCAACCGAGCATTTAAATTGCAGCGATCCGTTCGAATGGAGTATGGAATATTTTTGTTTCGTCAAATATTTTTGCGTCTAAAAATAAAATGGATGAGCAGCATCGTCTCGTCGCAGAAATTGCTAGAAGCAAAAAGAAACGCCCAAAACTATGCAAACAGAAATAAACGCAATCAAAACAGCTGTGTTGTTTGTTCTTAATTCTTTGAATACGTTGTTGTGTTATTTATTCAAATTGGTTGCGAGCGTACAATTTTTTATTCCATAATCAAAAATGTTTTTAATTAGATTGAATGAGTCGACCACACGGTGATTTACTTTCGCTTTCCTTTCTTCTTCTTTGCTTCGGGCCATGGGAACCCGCGTGCCTTCAAAACGTCCTGCAAAAAAAAACGTTCAGCACATTTTGCAATTGTAAACAAATAATGATTTTGTGATAGTGAAATTTTGGTGTTGAACAAAAAAAAATGAGTAACCTAACCTGCACATTGTGACAAATTAGATAAGCATTTTCCATAGCACCTACCATGTTCGAACAAAAGAAGAAGAGAATTATGGACTGTCACGTTTCTTCTTTTTTTTTCTTATTTTCACTAAAAATTCATTCAAAATATAGATTTTTCACCTTCACTGAATATATCGCCCTGGATTTTCGATGATTTAGCCGATGATCCACCGGTAGAACGTCCATTTTTCTTTTTGCCGCCTTTTTTCTTCTCTTTGCTACCCGTTGTTGAATCTTTGCTATTACGTTTTTTTGCCCCTTTTCCAGCCATTCCATCCAAACTGGATGCACGAATTTAATTGAAACCAAAGTATTGTTTCAATCGAAATAATGGGCTATCGATTAAACAAGCAGCCAAACGTTGCATAGTAACCATTGGTTGCACTTTACCCATATGAATAAATCAATTCAAATGAATACAGATTTCATAATACGAGAGCAAAAACAATGTTGGAAGAATTGAATAATAACGAGCCACTTTTTTTTTTTATTTTCAGTTGAAATTTATTCAAAATATAGATTTTTGGTTTTTGTACACAAAATATATTGATATATAGTTCAATTGAGGCAAACTTAAATAAAAGCGTAATTTAATTTCACTCTGATTCTATTTGTATATGCAATTATATAACGTTCTTTGTTTTTTTTTTGTTCTATTTTTTGATTATTCTTCTGCTATTTTTGTTTCTTTTCATGCTCTTTCTCAAACTTTCACCTACATTTAATTAACACTGAACAATTACTTTACATAAACATAAACATAATTGATCAATAAAAGATGTGAAATATTTGGCAAATGACTAGCTGAATATTACTATTATGTATTTGTTTCAAATATCTCTTTTTTTTTTGCTATCTCACCGATTCGTGGCTTCGTAGGATTTGTAGTTGTTTTGTTTTTTTTTTTCATTTTTATTTTTCTAATCTTTTTGTTTTGGTTTTTATGTGTCGTAGAAGGAAAAATAAAAAATGTCATGTGTATTTGTGAAGCCACGTGGAAATAGGCTGAAAATGTGTTCAAAAAGAAGTCGTATCATATAGAGAGAAAATAGTCAGAGAGTAAAAAAAATAGGAGTCAATGGCACGGATGCAGAATATTTCCATTAGATACAAGCTACACGACGTTCACTTCTAAATTAATTGGACAAAATATCAAATTGTGTACACATTTTGCTGCTAATAAAATAATCTACGTAGAATGAATGAATGTTAAAAATTGTTCAAGTCATTAAAAAAAAGACACAGTAAACACGTTGGACAAAACGAACAACAATAACAAGAGCAACTAAGAAAAATGCGTCGTACAATCGTTTCCTTGAGGATATGCGATGTGTATAGTATATAGATATGATTGCATCATTTAAACGTAGACACGTAACATTTGAACTGCGATAACCGTGGCCACTGTTGCAAGTGAAATGCGTATCGGTTGCGACGATGACGCTTGTCCATTGAGAAAATCGTCACGCACATAAACGAGTGTCCGTGAATTGAGGCGTTGAAGTTGACGGAAATTGTGTGTCAACAAAGCACCGTCCGCATCTTTCACCTGCTTAAATCGTTCGATCTGTGTTATTGCGAATGGTACGGTGTTATCGAGTATGGTCCAAATAACGGCCTCATCACATGAAGGTGTCGTCAACGAACCCTCGTAACGGAAATACGATGAACGATTCTTCGGCAACAGTTGGAGCGGTGAAAATGAGGCATTTATCTCATTCGATTGGCCAGCTTCATCTTTAACCGATTCAGCGCTGTCCAGAATATTTTTCAGCAATGGATTCACCTGATCGAAAACGGTTCTATTAATTATCATAAATTAATATAAATTTTGATTATATAATACCTGATCGGAAATATGGAACAGTACAGCCAATACAGAAACACCTTGCTTATTTTGAACGGCTTCCGAGAAATTTTTGTAACGTTGATTGTGCGACACAATGTGCAATTCCAAACCGAATCTGAAAAACCATAGACAATAACAGCACACACAAAAAAAACACCGTTAAAATGGCATCCGACATTCAATGGGGGAAAAAACATTCAGATATTGAGATATAATCATCGCGTAATTGATGAAGCTGCAATTAAATAACGATTTAATTACCGTTTGCTATCGAGCGTATGCTCCGAAGCCCAGTGAAAATGCATTTGATCCATTTTATAGATGCCGGGTAATCCGCCGCCAGTAATTAAATACTCTTGATTATTTGGAATATCGATTTGTACTGCTCAAAAGAAAAAAAAACGAATGAACAAAAGCAAACAAACAAAATGAACAAAAATCAATATTGACAATGTCAAAATCGTATGTAATTGAGATACTTAATTAAAATTCAAAAATTCCTAAGACGCTGAAACTCGTTTATCTTTGAGCGCACAGCCTCATGTAAATGATTCTAATGTCTAATTGCTATGATTATTTTTGAAATCGTTGTGTCATTTGACTGAATCTCAATACGATTTGGTTTTAAATGTAATCTATATGTTCAAGCAGCAGCAACAACAACACAACTTGCTACGTTCACCCAAGTGACACATGCAATTGCTGTCATTGTTGCATGGACGGGCAGACTTTCATGTATTCCAAACCAGAAGCAAATCAAGATTTTGTTGCACTCAACGCATATTAATATATCAATTGTTTCTTCTTTTTTTGCTTCTGATTTGTTGGTCATTCATTTTAAATGGACGTTAATCGTATTTTTACTGCCGCCATTTATCGTACTTATTTAAAGCTCAGTTGCACTTTTTTTTTCATACATTTGTTCCGTCTACATGTAATATGCTAAATTTAAGACGTAAGATTAAGTGTAAATTATCTGGTAACAATAATAAATCAAATATGTACGGCTTAGAAAACAGTGTCTAAGTGTTTAAATTAATAATGAGCTAATAAGTAGATTCGACTGGTGGCAATAAAGTGAAAAAAAAAAAATGATTTATAATTTCTTTTGTGTGTTTGACGAATTGAAAATTTCCACTTAGATTCTGTACAGTAATTGTCGGAATATACAGTTGAACTATAGTCATATTGTTGAGCTCATTAAATAAATTATGTTGCTTGGGCCCGTTTTAGTCAATCGAATAGAATGCTAAAATAAGAGAGAACAAGAACTCGGAATGTGAACTACTAATTTCCAAACTTGGCAAGCATATATTGCACTTGATAAAATCGCAATCGTTTTGCCGAATACAAATCGACATGTGCAATCGCTGTACGTGTATAGTCGAATCTAATGCAACGGTTCAAGTATATATGCGGCCCATGTTATTCACAAATATGTTCACATGAGCAACAACAACCACAATGCTCGTCTATCGTAGCTGTATATCAAAAAACAATGCGAGAAGATTGAATACCGATTGTAAATCATATCGAAAACAGATCATCAGATTGCACTCTTTTTTTTCACTCCTACCATAGAACGTGCCATGTTTGCGTAAAACGGCATGGCTTAAGAATGCTGAGAATGACATGAAAAGCATCTGAACCGAATATTCGAGTTGAATGAATGAGCAAACAAACGAACAAAACGAAAAGAAAAATTGGCTTTGCTTTTTGAAGTGTACGAAGCATTTAGTACGTAACATATGTGCTTGTGTATGTGCTGGTCGGCTGTGAAGTGAGTGAATAAAGCAAAATGCTGCTCGGTCAAGGTCATTTACATTCAAGAACAAGTAAAACATAAGTACATGAAATAAATTTCGTGTTTGGCTCTGAAAACATGTGATGCATTCCATGTTGTAAATAGCGGCTAACTTATTGTTGTTGTTGTTGTTGTTGTTGTTGTTGTTGTTGTTGTATTTTCAGTGCGTGTGATATGCTATACTTCACATTTGGTCGATTCAATCGAGATATTATGTGTCTCTGTCTCTCAGTCTCTGCCTCTCTGTCTATCGAATATGCCGATTGCGATGCGTGCTTGATGATCATTCGATACGGATAAGATAATAAGTTGGAAAATTTTCACTTTTGGTATTCCGCAAATTGCAAATTGTTGTTATGGCACGTGAAAAGGGCTTGATTACTTCGTGCATAGTACGCAAATCAAAAACAAACGCACAAAAACAAAACAAATGCGAATGAAATGGAAATATAAAATGATGGAAAAGTTCAAGCGGTAAAATGTAATTCGACACTGTCGAAGCAGTTATAAAATTACATTAGTGCCCAATAAATCAATTTTGTCGAGATACTCGAGTCAACAAAGTAGTTGATTCCATCAAAGATCTGTTTCGAATAGAGAGAAATATTCGGACGAAAATCAGGTGTCTTGCCGTGTACAATCACACAGCAATCAGATGAAACAAATAGGCAAACAAACAACGAAGAGAGAGAGAGAGAGAGAGAGAGAGAGAGAGAGAAAGAGAGAAAGAGAGAGAGAGAGAGAGAGAATCAACAACAGAAGAGTGTACACAGAGACTCATTAGTTTATCAAATGATGTGCTAACAACGTTCAAGCAAACAACGTTTGTTGAAATTAAAGCGTTTTCTACCTAGCCTTAGCTCTCTTTCTCTTTCTCTTTCTCTTTCTCTCTCTCTCTCTCTCTCTCTTTCTCTCCACGTGTGTGTATGACACACTGTATGTGCAAGTGCATCAAGAACTGTCTGTCCAACTGTGTGTGCCATATCAAAATGAACGTGTTCTTTTGACAATGAGCTGCGAACGGAGGATACATAAATTAATATAAAATGAATTAATATTCATATGGAATTTGTGTGTGTGTGATTGTTCTGTCTTGTGTCGTTCTTGGGGCTATTCTTTCGTCGTGTTGGACACGGTTGAATAACTTCATTAAACTTGTTAGAACTTGATTGATAAATGTGTGTGCATTGTGTATGAAGCCAGGGTTAGGACCAGTGCAAAAATAGTACGTTAGATTCAATTTTATTTTTTTGCACAGAGATCGTTTCATATTTTGTTTTTGGCATATCAAAGTCATAGCAGCATAGCACACGCTCAGATATGATTACATCTAAATGGACTTAATGCTCAGATTATTTTCAGTGGCTTTTATTAGCGTTCACCACCAATATAGATTAATTCGCTTGATTCGAATGCATTGTGCACACATCGTGGAATTGGGATAGAACGTAAAAACAAAATTATAATCAAAGTGAAGATAAAAATAACGTCCGACTTACATGAGTGGCCGGTATTCCGAATTTTGCCCTTTTCCAGTGAATTTTCATAGTTCCGGAAGTAGAGAGATGGATATGTTCCCGTAACTGCTGCACCCTTTGCCAAATCAATTGGACTTTGACGTCGACCATTCCGACATTGGCCACCCCATTGTTCTTCTCCTGAAATACACACATGCATCATTAGTACAGTTTTATTTTTCCGCAGTCACATACATCAAACAGCTGATTTTGTGTCTTGTGATATATCGAAATATTTCCCATTGATATACGGAAAATAGCACATTAATAATAACTTGATAATTCCATTGTGTTTTTTTTTTGCTCTTCTGTCTTACGTGCAATTTTGCCGAAACTATCGCAGCGGAAATCGCGCGTTCAGATATACATATGTATATTGAACACAGCAGCAACAATGAAGAAGAGAAAAAATAGAAACAAATAGGAATCACTGCATCAAAATCAATCGACAATAAACTGATTATCGCGGCGTTTGTTTATAACATATTTTTCTTTGTTTCTGCTACAAAGCAATTGTATTGCGTTGTTCGAATTCATTTCAATGTTTGAAAGTGGGTTACGATCGTTAAAATCGCCTGAGTACACTTCACTTAACTCCAAATTTCACTGACGTAACGCCACCGACAGAGATGTATGTGCTTTTTTTCTCAAATTTTTATTGCGCTTTCTATGATGTGAACATTTTTCAATTTACGAAAAAATGGTTGAGTGAAGGACCAATGAAAATATAACTTGAAAAATCGTATGTGTTGCTATTGTCGTTGTTACAACGATGACATTGTCTCCATGCGAAAATTTATGACTTTTTTTTTGTTAGGCAGCACTTATATTTTAAATTCAGGAAGCGTCCGAACACAATGTGTCGATTTCAACGAATTCCATTTTGAAACAATATTTGTATATATTCTAGTTCTAATCATCAAAATCAAAATGGATATTGATTGAAAAAAAAATGATACATTAAAAATTCGTTAATCGCGTGTCTGTCGACGGGCTTTGCGCTTTGAGTGCGAAATGAAAGATTCGAAAGTATTCATAAAACCAAACGAACAGCAAATTTCTGAGGCGTTTAAATACGCGTAGAAGATACAAATCGATACAGCGTTTATAAATCGAGTAATTTTTCTAGTTACACTTAAACTATTTTTCTTGTTTTTCTCATCCTTTGGTTCGATTCGCATTCGGAAATGCCGTTAAAACCGTTGATCGTCGATCGTTGAAACACAATTTGTTTTGTATTTTAAGAAACGATTTTTTTAGAGTTACTTTACCCTTGACTACACCATTGGCTTGTTCTGGTAGATAGCCCCAGTGATCGGCTGTCACAGACACCGCACCTAGAATGATTCAAACGGTTGTGTGAATTAATTGTGATGCTCCACATTGAAGTATGAAATGCATGAATAGGTAATTGTCAGTGCCTTATGGTTGCAAGAATATCCCCTTTTTGAGAGCTATCTTGGCATTCTCGTAGAAATTCAGACATTAGTCTAAAAGTCCCCATTTTCAATTGTTAAAAAAAATTACGAATAACTTTTTGGGAAAAATGGGAAAATACCAGATGATTATTAAAATGAAATTCGTAGAAAGCAGACAACCCAATGTGAACTATGTACCTTTTTTTCATTCGTATTATTTCAATACTCCAATGAAACTCCATTTTTTTTTTCATTCATTGCTTTTCTCTTGATATTGCAATGTGAGTCAGTAATTATTCATTTTTGTGTGTAAATTCAACATTCTCCATTCAATAATTAAAGCAGTTGCAAAAAATCCCCTCTAATAAACATAAATTTATGTTTTAATCATTAAAAGTAAGCATCGCAGGCAGTTCTTTCTCAAAAGTAAATAAATAAACGACGATAATGGGAATGAATCACTTTGAAATATCAAAATTCAGTTTATTCAATTCCATGCTATAATGATGACTGGACTGATGACAAAAGTCAACTGAAGTGAATGGAAACTTTGATTTGCTGAATTGCAAATGAATTATATTTACAGAATGAATCAAAATCAGCAAAGAGTTAGTGTTCCACGAATCAATATTGGCAGAACTGGGATTGCTAAGAAAATTCAAATCGAGCGATAAATTTCGTTCAAATCGAGCGATAAATTTCGTTCAAATATCGGAAGAATGTCCTCATTTTCTGCAAGAAAAATCTGTGCACCTTAACGGTAGAAGTGCGTCGTTAGTTGATGGAGGAATAATGAAATCTGACACACTTTCTCCTTCTTCGCAAACAAGTGTCACTGACAACAAAGTGTTCTGAGAGCAAATGCTAGTTTCATATTGTTTCTTGCTTGCTCCAAATTCAAAAGAGAGTAAAGTAACCTAAAGCATTCTTTTTAAATGGAAACATACATTTCTTGGATAATCGCATAGAAAAGGCTGCATTGAGCCAAGAAATCGCTACAAAGGTACAATGAGCACGATTCCTTTGCACTTTTGTTCAAAAGGTTAAAAATAACAGGGACATATATGTTTCATATATGAGATAGTACTCTATAGACAAAGAAGAGATAAACCATGGTACAAAGTTGGTATTTTTAGATTTAAAACTCAAAAAGAAATGGTGAAGAAAAACGGTGGCTATGATAACGGATGTCAGTTCAATAAGATTTATTAATGTGTTTGAGAAAATGAGTTATTTATATGCACAATAACCTTGGTTGACCATTTCCACTCTCTGTCTACAGAGACATGCCAAGAGAGAGTGTACAATAGAATCTCAATTGCAAATACCGAAAATTATTCACACGCCCCAATTGATATCGTACATTTCTCCCGCTGAAAACTGCCAATTCATTAGGTAATATGATAAGGTTAATTTGCCTATAAAATTCTGTTTGACGCATTCATTGCGGTTACGTTGTAATAGACCAACCTGACGATCTAAAAATGGTATAGAGAGCTCTCTATTTGTGCAGACTGTGCTTCTTTTATAACTTTATTCATTTATGGTATGGTGGGTCATGGAATGGTAAAGGAGTAAATTCAGAATTTACGTTTTGAATTAATTGAATTGTAAACAGGTTATACGATGCGCCAGAGATTTACGGGTTGTAAACCGTTGAATTTTTGCATTAATAGACGATGAGTTGTCAATTCCATGTGGGTTTCCTAATAGAATAACATCAATGAACTACGTCAGCAGACCACACTCCAGTCTCAAAGAATTTCACATCGTTTATCAACGTTCATCAATGTGGCGCAGCTGACAGCGTTGCAATTATTATCATAGTCAAATATAGGAAGCATATCAATAAAATGAACGGGTGTCCTTTAGCCGCATAATGGCAGAGAATGAAGAGCTGCTAACAACAACATCATCATCATCATCATCATCATCATCTTTGCATCATTGTTTCAAACTTGAACGGGTAATTATCTCTAGTTTAGCATAATTTTTTACAATTGCCTCTTTATCATAGTGTGTTTGCTCAAGATTAATTTACCCGTAGTGTTTCATCCGTTTCGGAATGAATTCACAAGGAATGTCAAGCGAATGAGAACAATTTGGTTTTTAATGAATTTTTGTTATTTCCCATTTTTCTTTACAGTTTTTCGTTTTTATTGCTATTTTTCTTGTCTGTATATTTGTCTATCGTCTTCGCTGCTTGTAATTTGATTTCAGCGTAACGACGCTGAATGATAGTTCGATACACAGCAATAGATAACTGATAACCGTTCACACACGATGTGTACGGATGTACACATGAACCGTTGTATACGGATTCAAAATAATCAGTTTTATCACAATGATACCCGTCGTCGTCGTCGTCGTTCAATCATTTTCTTTATATCAATTTTAGTAAGACTTTATTTTAATTGGACTTCCGATTCTTGATAGAAATCATTTCTCTCTAATTGAAATCCTGAAGAGATGGAATTTTCCTTCGCCAAATGTGCCGGTGCCAATTATAAATGATAAACATTGATAAAAAGGGAGCGTAACGTGAGCACAGCTCATGTTCAACGGAATAAATAAGACGAATCGAATGAACGCAATTCTTGCTGATTTTGATCATCTATTTGATTCGATAGAATCAACATTTTTGGCACACTTCCACAGACAACAATGAATTGTTGTTGACCTTTGACAACGACACCGTCGCGTCTAGTCGCTCTCGCTCACACGCTCCCTTTTTCATTTTATGTCATTCTTATCATACTTATTGTTTTTATTCATATAAACATTGGCGGCAACCGTATAAATTAATAAACAAATTTCGACAATAAATTAAATCCCATTCAGTAGAGAATTAATCGAAAAGATAGAGAGAAAAAAAATAATTGGCCCGTATATAGATGACGCATATACGCACCACACGTCTTCGCCACTAAGGGTAATAAATTATTGTGTGGCATTTTTGATTATTTTACACCATAACATAATTGATTGATTGAGGGTAAATGTGAGTCCGTATTTTGGACATAACAAAGGCTAAACAAAGATTGTTTTTATTCTAAAAACTGAAACACTGTGTTTGTGTTTCATTCCAATAACATTTGTTTTGAATTTTTCACTATGAAGAACTATGTTTCGTTTTGAGAAAGAAAAAAAATTATAGTGATTTCTATCCATCTTTATCTGTATCTATCCATTTGATTTTTGCAGTGTATGATAATCATCATGATGAATAAAAACAGAATTTTTTTTAAAATTTTGTTGTAAAATAAAACATTTTTTTTGTTATGAATCATTCTAAATCAACTTTAGAGAAATGGAACATACATGGTATGGTTGACTGTCTGAAAAAAATTCTGCACTTTTACAAAAAAAATTCTCCTTGTTTGATCTTCATATACTGTCCGAGGATATATGTCACTCATCCGTTCCATTCTATGATGGGAAGTCCTGTCTTTACGTCCACGCATAAAATATGAATTTCAGGTTTTTAACTACACCATCGAACCCGTATTTGTGACCACATCCTCTTGTCATTTCGATTCATTTCATCTGATTTAATTTTATTTATTACACGTGACACATGAGACAAACAAAAACAATTTTTTTTTTCATTCAAACTTGATAAATCGCAATTTCGGCAATTTTATTAATTCTTGTTTTTGCACAATGAATCGTACAAAATGTGTGCCTAGTCTGGGTTCAAGGCGAGTGAGATACGAGAACTTAACGAATGGAATTCAAATATCCAAACGATTTTCATCGTGATAAATGTCGAAAGAAAAAAAAAATAAAATCAAGCGTTGATAATATCAAGCAATTGAAAGTGTCAAAATGAATTGAAAATGGAACGATTGCGGTTGGTAATTTGATGACCAATTTGGGGGGGGGGGAGTAATTTGATAAAGATTTAACGAATATTTCACTTAATCTACTTACAGTTGGCTACTAAAATTGAAAATAGCACAATGAAATACATCGTTGTATTTTTGTTTTTGCTACCACACTTTTGTCACCCTCACTCGACCAACGAGAAACCAGAATCACGTTCAATCGATTCGTTGATGTGTGTTTTCTATTCGGAAATGCTAACTGCAGGCAGTTTCACCACCAGTGCGACTTGACCTAGGCTCACAAAATTCGGTGAAAGCCCCTTTTCACTACTCTCGATGCTGGCTACTGGTATGATTTGAAAACACTTTGCTCGAAATACTCAAGAGGACCTGTGTCGCTTGCAGAAACTTGACATTGGAACACAACAAAACAATGCACAGAAGGCCACACACTCACAAAATATTTAGGGTTGTTTCGAACGAAATAATTTTTTACAGCGATATTTGAAAATTGTCCATTGAAATCGAATGTAACAGTTATTTGTTTTGATTTTTTTTGTTGTTGTTAATGTTCGGTTTTCGTTTCTATTCAAAATGCGAAAATTGAATATTAACCGTAAACTGAACTACCCGTTTGTATAGTGCTGCCTTTATATACGAACTGCTTCGAATCGGTCCCGGTCACCGTACATCAAGCTTACGCGGTAGCAAATAATTCACCGCCAGCGAAAAAACGCAAATACATGTTATATGTAACGCCGCCATACATGCAGCGTGTTCTACACAGGCAGCAGCAGCGGCAACGGCAATAGCAGAGAGTTGAAAAGAGAGCGAAAGTCATAAACAAGAGCAATAGCACGTTCGTTTTATCGTTCTGCTTCTCTTCGCTTTGTGCATTTATCTCTCCCTTCGTGTGTTAGCTAGTGTAGTCGGTTCGGTTTACACATCTTCGGCGCTCACTTGAAATCAGCATTTTCATCACAGTGAGCTCGTGTCTTCTGCCCATGTTTTAGGTCAGTTTTTTTCAGAGCGGCGTACCAAGCAGTCGTGTGTGTCTCTTCACATGGATAGGCCTCTGCATATTGATTGTACAATTGCTACCAAACACAAAGAGTCAAACGATGTTTGGATCGCATCTTATGCCGACTTTTCTCTGTCACTATGCAATCGCTCCTGTCATTCATCTCACATTGAACTCCGTAAAAGACAACATCGCACTCAGTAGGCTCAATCACAATGCAATGCTACGTCAATATCATTAAGTGGCTTGGAACACAGTTTTGATTTCAATTCTGCAAAATTCTTCTTAATGATTCATGCTCTTGGCTCTAGTTGATAAAATATTCCGATTTTCCATCCTTTCGTCCCACTTTGATATGAGAAATTCTGCTTCAGTAGCTAGCGGTATTGCAGGAAAATTTTCGCTTTTCTGTCATTCCCTTCGTTCAAACCGAAATTTGTCGCCTTTTTTCGTCCAGTGTACCGCAAACAAATGATACAAATCACAAATTGCAAACCCATGCGAATTAGTGAATAAACATGGAGAATGGCATTCGATGGATTTGTTCTATTTCTGTTCAACACTTTGAAAATTCAAACCGACCGAAAATGCTGGTATTCTTTCGTATTTTACAAGTCAACACCAATTCGATCAAATTGACAGCGCGAACGAATGTGCATCAAGTGCAAATGCAAAAACTTCAGACGATTCGATGAATATTCGGAGAGAGCGAAGAAAAAACCGATTTACAATCAGCAAAAGAGTTTTCAAAAAAAAAAATTGTGTGCAAAGTCAAGTGTACTGCACTGCACAAACCGAAAGAAAATTTATCAAAATAAATTCAATGTTAGAAAATTGAGCAAAATTCCGGCGTTTCGATAGAAAACTGAGCAACAAACAAACAACAACCGAAACACACACATAAACACACATATATACAAGCACCCAACCTAACCTCACAAAGCTCGGTTCTGAACCGATTTTTGTTTTGCTCACAGCACAGCAGCGCTGCGTTCACACGGTTCAGTAGATTTTTCGTGCAGTCATTCCATGCGTTCCAATCGAAGTTCTATGGCGTACAAGAACCGAGAAATGTCACCGAACTTATAACTTTTTTACACACAGAACGTAAAACTACATCTTGCAAGGCATCAAATAGTAAAAAATTGTTCCTTTTACGAGATACTCAAATTATATTTGTCTGTAAAGTAAAAAAAAAACGCGTCAAAATGGACGATATTACGGTAGAGGTGTGCGGCGAAAATGGTGCTTGGTATAAGGTTTGTACAAAACAATTTCATTTCACCAAATACACAACACAAAAATTTCAATCGATTAGAAAAATAAAATACAATAAAAAAAAGGAAGAAGAAGTGCAATTCGTAATGATGCCGAACAAATTTTCCTACCGCAACTTTTTTTTTCTCGTTCGTTCATTGTATGTGCATTGTTTTGCAAATCGAAGCAAAATCCAATTGTCCGGCAATTGAAACAAGAGAATAATATTCTCTCTCGCTCGCTCGCTTGCTCGCTTGCTCTGCATACACATAACATGCATACATATTTATTTTTCTTGTTCGTTCCCTCTACATCAATTGTATGTTAAAAGTGCGGCTGACGCCATGATTTATCTTACATATCTTATATGACACCAGGGCGTGATGTAAAATTCGCAATTTATCCCCAAAATAAAATGCTACATTCGAAAATAATGTGCATGCTTTACCTGAACGATGACCAAATTTCGATTCGATTCTATGTCACAAACGGAAAATTGCGTCTTATGCGATCGTGTTTTGTGTGCGCGACACTGCACAAAATGCACTTATACCAAAAAGGAAATTCACCTTTCGATTCGTGTTTGCGGTTGTTGTGAATGCATTTTATTCGTATTCTCAATCTCATTTGTTCGTTCAACACATTTTTTTCTGTATTCGTCCTAATTACTTTTGGTGAGCGCGAATTACAGCCGAAAAACAATTGAAAATGACCACAAAATGGTCACCGAAAATGGCACTTAGCAAATGAAAATGAAGGAAATGAAGAGAAAAAAAACGGTGGAAAACTGTTGCGTGCAAAGCACCACTAAAGGAAGAGGGGAATGAAAAAAAATATACACACAAAAAAGAATGTCGTTGATTTTCGGCTTTTCGTATAGAATGCCAGCAGTTTGTGTGGCATTTTTGTCCCAAATTTGGGGTTCGATCTCATTGGAATTCTTTGCAATCAGTAGCGCCATCGAAGTCAAGAAAAAAGAAGAGAGAGGAGAAAAAGCAACAACAACAAGTGAAACGACAAAAAATCCTCCGATGAATCAATGAATATTACTAACGTTTTGAGTTGTCCTTTTTTAACCTATAGGCAGTTGTCACAGATCTGTTCGACGATGGAATTATGGTGGCTTTTGAAAATGAGTAAGTATAAATGGGTAAACCGTTGTGTTAGTGCTCCGAATTGAACTGTTTTCATTTTCTTTTCGATTTGTTGTGATTTTTTCCTCTCATTTGATACTCAAAGTAAACAAAAGTGCAATTAAAATGTGTGGTTGAAGTGTTGAATTGGTTATGTTTTATATCAGAAATGGCCTTCAGCCATCGATAAGTGTAATGCTCAATAAAAGAGAAATTAGATTGATGTTAAAATGGATTTTCTGTGTGAAATTGATGGTGTTTTCGATTTGGTTTGTTTTCCGTTTCACTTTCAGCTGGCAAAAGGAATCAAAGTTTCTGTTCAGTCAAGTTCGCCTGCCGCCAGATGAACCAACGGTCGCACCAATATTCTCCGAAGGCATGGAAGTTGAAGTGTATTCCCGTTCGAATGACCGTGAGGCATGCGGATGGTGGTGTGCGGATATCAAGGTTTGTTTTGACCAAGTTTGAACGGTGCTGTTGAAAGAAAACAAAAATCCAATATTTTTGTGCATCAATAATTTGTGTGTGTGATGTTTGTGTTTTCAGATGATCAAAGGCGAATTCTTAGTTGTTGAGTATTTGGGCTGGGAACATAGTTACAGGGAAATTGTGGCCGCCGAACGACTGCGTTTAAAAAATATAAATCCGCCAATAACTGCTACGACATTTCACAAATTCGAAGTTGAAGTACCCGAGGAACTGCGAGTTTAGTAAGTGAAGAAAACCTGAAATATGTCCGCCGTTGTTATCATACCAACTGGTCCATATCTAGATAATAATGTATTTGCTTGTTGTCATTGTCATCTGAACAGTGCCAAAGTTGATGGTGTTCACAAGGAATTTCAAAAGGCAGTACGGGCTGGCGTGTGTCGCTTCATTCCCGAAACTGGTCACTTATTGATGATATCCACTGAAGAATCAGCACCGAAGAAGGCCCGCATGATTCAAGAGATGCATTTTCGGAATTTAAGTCAAAAGGTAAACACCGAACCGCCAAAGTGGCTCTTTCAATTAGTCGAATACTAACGTATGTGTGTATGTTTTCTCATTTGTTGTTGTTTCTGTGGTAAAATCGATACAAATCGACAACGAACACAACGAATCATAGGTTTTACTTGTCAAACGTACTGAAGAAGCGGCTCGTCAATTGGAATCGACAAAACTTCACACAACCTCCGGAGGGTGAGTACACAAAAATTCATGATCGTGGTTTTTTCTTTACGTTAAAGCAAAACAAAAAGAGACATGAAACACATTTATTACACATCCACATATCTCTCATTATCGTTTCGTTGAATACCAATGATTCAGATTCAGATTCAAATAGATTCTCGGCATATCATTTGAAATGTTCCATTGACAAATCACTTATGTTTCACTCAATATTTATCCTCGTTATTTTTTTTATTCTTTTGGCAATTGTCAATGACCGTATCGATACTAACACTGATCCTCCTTGCCATTCTGTTTCGGTTGAGACAACCGATTCCCGCATTGTTTGATACCAATACAAAAAAACAAACAACAAAAATACAAACACATGCACAACGTGTCCCAAATTCATTTTGAATACAAATTTATTTTTTGGTTTGCAATACACACACACACACACACACATACATACATTCCAAAACGCAGACATCAAATCAAATACATCCATTGTGAGAGAGTCGTTCCTCTGTACTCTCTATTGACACATTTTGATTTCAATTTTCTGTTTAAAACTACAATAAAAACGGTACTTGATTTTGAAAACAAAACCAAACCAAACCAAACAAACAAAAAACGAGTAGTTGTGTAAATCTAAAACCTAATCAAAACTATTACAGCAAAAAAATGAATCATCGACACAGTAACAATTTTGACGGGATGTTTTCACTTGGAAGGTATTTTACAGATTCTTTTTTCTTTGTCTCTCTTCTCACTGCTTTCTCAATAAAAGTCATTTAATGGCCGTCTAGTTATATGCTTTGCTAATTGAACAAAACAAAAATCAAAATACCAACAAAAAAAAACCAAATCTTGATTGATTTCGAGTACCATTTAAAGCTTTTTTATCCATTCAGCAAGGGTTTTTATTGTAAAGCAGACACGTATTTATTTAGTTTAGCTTGATACAATTTTCGGCAAGTGCAATCCTTGGGAAATTTATCTTATTTTTTTTCCATTCATTCGATTTACTATAAATAGTAACAGTTCGAAATTACACAATACACACACATATACACGTGCAATACGCAAGTGTTTTGATTCTGATTATTGAAGCTAAAAATGCAACAAGAACAAAACAGAAAAAAACTTGTTATCATTTGGATCTGTAAAATAAAAACGACAAAAAGAAAATAATCACATAAAAAGTCATACACATAAAATTTTGTTTTTAGATGTGTGTCCGTTGACACACTTTTTCATATGATTATTAATTGTATTTCATAAATGGTCAATTTTTTTTTGCGTTGAATACGTGAACACTGAGTAATCATTTGTCGAATGGTTCTGTTTGTTTTGCAGTTTTTCAGACGAATTTCGAGTGCGTGAAGATCTGATGGGTTTGGCGATTGGTGCGCACGGAATTAACATACAAACAGCCCGAAAACTGGACGGTGTAACACAAATTGAACTAGAGGAACACACGTGTACTTTTAAAATATTTGGTGAGACTGAAGAGGCCGTTCGAAAGGCACGCTCAATGCTTGAATACAGTGAAGAGTCCATCCAAGTACCACGGAACCTAGTCGGTAAGGTGATCGGTAAAAATGGACGAACTATTCAGGAAATTGTTGACAAAAGTGGCGTCGTTCGGGTTAAGGTACATACTTGAATAAAATGATCAACCACATCGATTGAGTTTTAACATTTGTTTTTCTTTTTTTCCACCGAATAATAAACAGATCGAAGGTGATAATGAGCCACAACCAAGCATACCACATGAAGGTACATACTTGTAATAAGGTGCCTTCATTGTACCACAGAACTGACTCAATTCGTTTCCCTTTTTTTGTCTCTTTTAAAGATGGTCAAGTTCCTTTCATATTTATTGGCACCATTGAAAGTATTTCAAACGCGAAAGTTTTACTCGAATATCATTTAGTGCATTTAAAGGTAAAACGAGCAACACCAAAATACCAATCGAATTCTAACTACGATTTACTAATAATAATTTTCTTGTTTGGGTTCGTTGATATTACAGGAAGTTGAACTGTTACGACAGGAGAAGCTAGAAATCGATCAGCAGCTGCGCGCTATTCAGGGCAACACATCAATGAGTTCAATGCAAAATTTTACCGTTCAACGACGATCCGATCGTGGCTATAGCAGTGATGTTGATACAATGCGACCAAACCGTGGATCAGGTGCGGGCGCATCACATCAAGGGAACACATCAAATACCAGTGGCACTGGTATTCGGGGACGGGGCGGACGCGGCCGAGCGAACAATACACGCTATCATCCCGGTAACAATTTACATAAAACCAACGAAACACAAACTAATTATAATAACAGCCCTGATCAAACGTTATCACGTCCAAAAACTAACAATAGCCACACGTTTAACCGTGGCAGACGAACAGCATCGTTCAGTCACGGCAAACAAAATCAAACCAAAACAGACACAACATATCCAAGCAATCCTTAAATACAGATTCGAATACAGTGGATAATGATTCTCTTGTTTTTGGTTTTGACAAACGAACCAAGCAAAATCTAATTAGACTCACTATATGCTTATATCCAATTTGCATTATTCTCATTTAAATTCGAATCGTTGTCTGAGCATTTGATTAGGTTGAAAATATCAGCATTAAACCAGATCAAATTTCCAATGTGTTCTTTTTACGTATACCGATAGATTTATTATGCCCAATTTGTAATTCTGAAATTGTTTGTTTTTGGCCTGAGGGCTAAGTCCACTGCCCACACAATTCGGTAGATGTTTTGGTTTTCAGAATTAAGCATTTAACATTTGTTCCCATTGTATTAAGATGATTTTGACCAAGAACCACACAAACGCCTTTCAATCGTTGAAATATTCGGAAGAAATTTCATTGCCTACAAATATGCATTTCTATCGATTTCCATCATTTGTACTAATGTTGAATCCATGTTTATAGTTTTATATGACTTACCATGGTTTGAAGATATCACTAGAATATATTTATACTTTGAAATAGACCATGGATAACACAATGACAAGAATGAATTGATGTTGGAAGTTATATAAAAAAAATGTCCAAACAAAATCCATAAACAATGAGAAATCTTCTACGAGTGGATATTTTCCAATTGACATGATACACAGAAGAAATGCACAGAGAGGATAGATTGATCAAAATGAATGCAACAGTCTTCTATCTTAGCCTTTATGTGGATTAGAACACATTTACAGTCTGTTTGTTTTGTTTGTTGAATGTTGTTGAATGGCAAAACATAAGCGACCATCTTCTGCAACCACATCGATTGTTCTAACACAACACACTCTTATATTCCTTTAATTAGTTATAATACGAAAAATTAACAAGAGTAGTTTAATGTAAGCTTTAGTCGATTTTAAAAACAAACCCAACCTAATTCATTTAATTTTTTCATAAACATTAGTGTTGGTCCGTTTTAAATGTAAATTGTTTGTTGGTCGATCTGATTTAAAGATTTCGTGATGTAATCACGACATAGTAGTTTACGAACAATTTCAACTTCCAATCGACACGGAGTATAATTATCTCGTATATCGGTCTTGATTTACATTGTTAACAATAAGAAACGCACATAAATCAAATCGTGAGAGTAGGTAACCGTGTCACAGATGTTTGTGTTCATCAAAATTTTATATACTTTCGATCGATAATAACTCGAAAATCAAATCATATGCATCGGTAGTCAATGCAAGAAGGATTTTCATCGATGCGTTATTGATTCAATTTGATGCCATAAGCCGAGGGAGAGGGAGAGGGAGGGTGAGGGAGTAATTGGATTACATTATGGATTAAACACAAATGTTGTGGTGACAAATTCTCTGTTCTTATTAATTCAACCAATTAGCATATTATGCGCACTGTTTTAGTTGATTAATTTTTTTGCTATTGACACTGAATCGAATCGTTCAAACTTACCTTACAAATGAATATCCATGATTTTCAATTGTCATTGCAATTTTTATGCAACATTTTCTTTTTGGACAATATTCTATACGTTTTTAGATAAGGATGCAGGAATTGATGCATTTAAAAAAAATTGTGATTGTACTAGCGTTTCCTTTCAAAAAATTTTTTATTATGTTTATGCATTTAATTGAGACTCGTAGAATTTAAACGATAAACACGACTGGGCTATCAATGAGCTCAAAGAAACAAATGTGATTGATTTGTTCATACATCAGCTCTATTTAGTTTTTCGATTTCAGCCAATTCAATATACATACATCACACAATATACATTTTGACCCTAAGTTCCCTTCGGTTGTTTTATTATGAGCATGGAAGAAATCGTTTTTATTTTGGATTCATTTCCAATAGAAAAAAAATTGGAATAGACAAAAAAAATCGAAGAAGATCAACTGTTCATTAACTGGCTTGCCATTGCTTAAATTATGCGGCAAATCGATACTGGGCTGTTTTTATTTGTATATCGCGAGACGCAAAAAAATTATTTTATCGGAATTTGTTTTTATGACAATCACTCACTTACCCTGTTATCTAGCTGACGATATAATTCATAGGGTTTTGTAACAAAACGTTTGTCTCTACGGAGAGAACAATGAATGTAATAACATAAAACTATAGATTCCACATTGAGTAGAGAATTGCCTCAGGGTCCGAAAAATGTTTGATAAAACTATCCTAAAGTCTAACCCATATTTCGATTTGGGAATTTTGAATTAAAATTGCGACGATTGCTAATGTGAATTTATTGATTAAATTTTTTTTGCTAATATTTCGTTCTAGATGTGCAACGCCAAGGCAGTACAAATGATGATTTCTCTGGTCGAAATGGTCATGTGCCGCCAAAGTCATACAATGATCGATCGGGTGGATACAACGGTGGCAAATGGTACAATGAGAAGAGAGGCAACAATCGTCGATCGGAGGATCTTCGATCGAAATCCGATTTCAATTATCGCGAGCAGTCGGGCGGACGAGGCGGCGCCGGTAGCAACAAGCAGCGCGCTGAACGTGATGTTGTGAGTGTGGATCGTGAAAGTAACTCATCTGTGGAGAATAACAATTCAAGACGACGACCAAAAGCAAAAAATACCCATAATCAAACAAATTCAGGTGAGAGCACAAGCACTTGACTTGATTTATTTATTTGAAGAAGAAGAAAATGATGAAGACGAAAGAATCCTAACATTTTATCCGTCTAAAATTCGGCAGTGGGAAATACAAATGGTGCATCGGCGAGTGAATCAAAGCAAAACGCATCTAGTTCCAGCAAATTCGAACAAAAGCAACAGCCGCAACAGAGTCGCCGTTCAAATAATGACACTTCACAAAAATCGGCCAACAATTCGAACACACAGCAAAACCATAACAATTACAATGGAAACAATCGTGAAAATGGCAAACCGCGTCGCTATGGCAACCAAACCAATGGCGGCAACAGTGGCAGCAGCGGTGGTGGCGGAGGCAGCGGTGGAAGCGGTGGCAATGCCGGTAACAGTAGCGCCGCATCAAAGGCATCGAAGGCTGTCAATGAAATTAATGCGGGCAACAACAAAGAAGTCCTCACCAACAATAATAACAATAATAACCTAGAAAACAAGGAAATTCTAATCAAAGAATCGACATAGAAATTTCGCTGCTCCGTTTTTCGTTTCACACAAGATGAAGAAGAAAGAGAAAAAAATGCAAGAAAAAAACAACAACCGTACATTTTCCTCATTATTTTGCTATTTGATACCGCTGAATTATTTGATTAAAAAGAACATATAGGAATGATTTATGAAGCCAATACGTTTCAGAGACATGAGTTTATAATAAGTGAATGTTGATGAGACAGGGAAAAAAAGTCAAAACGAATAGAATGTACGAGATGATGAGAAAAAACAAATAACACACAATCACACACACGCGCGCGCAGAGAACAAATAATTCAAATTTAATTGAGAAAAATCACAAATAATAGTAACACATAGGAAATTACAGCACCTAAGTATCGGTATTCTCTCAGTTTGTACTTTTTTTTCGTAATAAAAATCGAATTGTTTTACTTTCAAGTCAACCAAAAAAAAGAATACATAGAAATGGGCAGAGAGCCAATATGTCTCTCTCGCCTCTGACAATTTCCTGACAGTTAATTTAGACATAAGAACCAATCAGGCGCATCATTTTGGCTTCAATGGAGCTCACAATCCCAAATTCTCTCACTTCCATTTCCAAAATGAACAATTCATTATGATTTATCAAGCATATCCGAGTGTTAATTTAGAACTTGTTCAGAACAAAGCGATTAACAAAAAAAATTACAAAATAATCGATTAGCAAAACAAAAATAATTAAAGAGGGAAGGAACACGAAAAATCGTAACATAACAATTCAAAAAAATAAAAAAATAAAATAAAACAGAAAACAACAGAAAATTTACAGCAATTGCAAAACTGAGACAAGAAAATTCACATTACTGATCACCATTTTCAATTGTATTCTAGCGATCGCTTGAAAAATAAATTGATTAAGCATAATACAAACAATCAATTTTTTTTTATTTTGAAATGAAAAGAAATGAAATCAATAAGATTGCGATTCATAAAGTTTCTAAACTTAGATGACTCTTTTTTGAGTGGAATTTCGATTTTCTGCTGTTTTCACATGAAAAAGCTGAATTTCAACCAACTTTTTCGCATTGTTTTGCTGCCAAAATTCTTCATTCAAGTTTTTTTCAATCGCTATTTTGCTCTTGTCTGCTATAAACACCGAAACTACATGTTGTATATACTTGTGGTGACTTATCATCGAATACGCACGTCATCGTTCAGAAGAACGTTCAAAAGAAGAATAAACCAATCCATGAACAACAACATCAACATCATCCGGTGTAATGTAATTAAGAAAGTTTCACGAGATGGCGATAGTCGTATGATAAAAAAATACCAATTTTGCCGCTTCTCAATCTTGTGTAAGTCTATAGTACATCACAATCTCGCATACACACAGTGTAAATTGGAAGCATTTCTCGAATAATTTCGTTTTTATTTATCGTAAGTACACTTATGCTAGTAAATTACTAATAGTAAGCTATGACTGAATGTGAATAATGTGTGAGAAAAAGAGAAACCAGTATGCCAGATGTGTAATAACGTGCAAAAGATTGAACGCACCTATAAAATCCAGTTTGATACTTTCTAGTTTTGACGTTATATTATACAAGCTCTATCAAATCCATCTTTAAAGACGTTATTTATCTCGAAAAAATCCATTCGAAGGGTTCTGAGAAAAAGAATCCAATATCAAACTGAACATTCGAACTGATGTATGTATCAAGTATTTTGGCGGCTTATGTTCCTGTCGTCTATTTTATTCGATTGATAAATATCTCACACAGTCCGAACTTTGTTTGAATTTCCGGCCTCTATTAGGTGGATATATGTATGCAACTGCGGGTGATGGTTAACCCTCTAATGCATTAATTTTTTCCTGGGCTGGGATTACTGGTACTCGATTGATTTTTGGCCATAGATAATTAAAAAAATATTCATAATCCTAGATTCCTCATGGTTTAGTCAGAAAATGCGATTGACATAAACCAGAGAACAATCAAATCCATTGTTTAAGAGTGTCAAAAATTTGTCTAATTTCGAGTTTGAATAATTTATTTTGTCAAATTTATGTTTTTGCACACATTTTTGTTTATAACTTTACAATAACTACATAGATAAATATTGCCAAAGACAAAAATGAAGAGAGAACATTGACGAATAAAAATTTCCTTCAAAGCAATGTGATCCGATACACGGTTTACGTTCTACAGGCGTTCAAATGTTCTAGACGGGCAAGAGGCGGTTGTATGCATTAGAGGGTTAAATTGGCTTCGAGAAGCTGGAATAAGACTTTGATTGAAATGATTTTCCATTTGGAAACAGTAAAAAAAAGCCGTTGATTTCTCGATTTTCAATCGATGCTTGATTAAAATGCCAATTTTTTTCAGCGCTCCCATGATGGAAAATTAATTAATTTTACTCCATCATCAACGCAATATAATTGTGCTATAAGTTTTAAACAGTGAACCATCCATGCTATGCACGTACCTATGAATGAAAGGCAATTTGCACGTCAACAACGGAAGACGGAAAGAAATCACGATTTTCATTCAAGCTTCCACACCTCTTGCGTGCCAATACACCAATAAACAACCGGCAATGCAAGTCGTCAGCAAGAATTTATTAGTTCAATTTACAGGTTGTTTTTCATCTTCGTTTTGTCCGCACATTTGTTATTTTTATTGAGGTGCGGCGGGCGCGCAAAAGTGAGGAAAAGACCAACAGGGTATGAGCAATGTGCACAATGAGTCATTGGCATTAATAATGATTGGAAAAAAAAGGTGATGTCCGTAAAAGTGCCAATATAAAAGTAGAGTCATAAACATTTTCAATGGCCGCCAACGGCCAATGTATTTGAAAATTGTTTCGCATGCGACAACAACAACGACAATAATGACGGCGACATTGATTTCGGTGCACTGATCCCTTTTACACCGTACCGTGCCGCATTTACTGCGGAATTCACTAAATGTGCTATATACGAAATGACAAAAAGCGCTGCTGATAATAATTGCCAAAAATACTCTCTTATTTTTAGCCAATAATGCGACGGATATTGACGCATTCCTCAAATCACTTATGTGTGCTGCTGCGGCGCAACACAAAATTTATGTTACAACATATTGTATCCGCTGGCCAAAATGGAATATGTTACGCTGTCAGAGCATTGATCGATATTGAGCACTGGCGGCTATTATGCTGGTCGAAAATCACATTTTGTGCAATTGTTCATGATATTCGAGAACAGGGGCCGAACAGTCGAACACAACTTTCTAATATGTAAGGAATAGCGATTTTGAGATGGAATCTTTCAAGGGTCTAATTTATTTCGATTGCTTCAGAAAAGTTACACGCAGTATAGGAAAAAAACCAGCACAATCCAAGTAACTGAAATCTTGCGTTTGTACACGTGCTGTTGCTTTCAAGATACAAACGAATACCTTCGAAGAAAAAAAAAAACTTTCAAGCTCCAAACTGGATGAGCAAAACCACTTTATGTAATGCGGACGCATTACCAATATCTTTTACCTTGCCAAATCATGCCAAATCATGCCAAAAATGGATTGGAGCGAGCTACATGGGATAAATGGATTTTCTGCATTTGTCATCTTTTTGAAATTTATCGGTGAACGAAATCCAAAATGGCTTGCATTGTGATTTAATAGCAACTGAAAGGGCTGTAAAAATAATAAGCGAACGAACGATTCGATTATATTTTAAACCCCAATTGTTTGGATAAATTTGCACATAAATTTGTCATTGTTGTTGTTGTTTCTCGTCGTCGTTCGATAGCAAGTTTTTGTTTCGACATTGAAAAATCGCTTTTCCACCAGATTATCCGATTATTATAATTTTCAAGATAATGCTCGGTATTTTACAAATTGTTTCCATCAAATCAACCTATTTTCCCATTCGGCACATTTACATTGCCCCAAAATGTGATGGACTCAACGCTAAAAATATGGAACGCGAGCGCGTTGACAAGTTTAAACTTTTTTTCCCGCGTCTGTTCCGTTATTTCGTTAAATTTTAATTGATTCATTCCACTGCTATACCCGATTCGATACATATCAGATATGCTTTACAACGATACAGATTCAGATACAGATGCAGAGATATCGTCTCGTGATAATACCATTGATTTATAGAAAATTTAACATTTTGTTCATTTGTCGCTCCAACACTTGCACACTCTGTCTCTCCTTGTCACTATTCCCAATACGTATTTTCAATTCGATTCGGAGCGCAGACTAAAGTTTTGAAACAAAAAAAATTTCTGTGTGGAGAATACGTCAAATAAATTAGTTGAACCAATTATCCTGAGTTATGTTCAATAACAACTTTAACCATTTTTGCACATAGTTCTCAACAACTGATGGCACTGCACTTGATTGTATTGCATTGTCTTCACTGGCACTCGTGTGCTGCTCGATATAAATACAAAGTAACACAAAGAGCGAGTGAAGAGAGAGAAAAAAAGGAGAAAAAGAAGTAGTTGAGAAGTTTAGAGGATAAGGTTACAACTGCCAAGATTATGAGATGAGCAGAGATCGCACATTGAACAAAACTAAAACTCATTGTTAGCAGCATCTTATTCCGCTGTACAATGTGCCATGATGAGATAGAGTGACAATGTGAGTGTGAGTGTGAGTGTGAGTGTGTGTGTGTGTGTGTTTGGATGTGTATCAGCATGACTTATTCTCTGTTCTTGTGGGAAAAATCAAGTGAATTGCAATTGAAAAATGCGCACACCAACACACAGCATACGTATATAAAAGCAAAGAGCAAACGTTACGGTGAAATAGATTCCATGCAAATGAACTATGACACTTCCGATTTCTTGGTCGGTTTTCTTCTTGCTCTCTCTCCGTCTTACACTTGACACCAAATTGGCTGACGCTTATCAACGTTTTGCGCGTCTTTTTCGTCCCATTTTTATTTTGTATCTTTCTCCATTACTACATGTATTCTCTTATCATGCTCATATTTTGTATCGTGCATCGCATCGCATCATGTTTGGATCCGTTTTTGAAAAATTAAGTCAAGAATTTCTCTTACAAAAAACTGAAGTAAAGCATCTTGAAATTGGCATACTCTCAGCGACTGTCATCGGCGTGTCAACATGCACACAGTGACACAAACAAACCCTTCGACTAGTGATTTTCTACTCTTCCTTTTCTCATGTCCTCCGTACATTCTTTTCTTTTCCTTACTTCTCGCCCTCTCTCAGTGCAATTCGATGAGGGCCCTTGTAAAATCGTATATAGAGAAAACTATTTCATCTATTCAGACATAAAATTCATTTTTGCCTATACCACAATGCCGCCGACCAACTCCTTACTTCTCTCTTTCCATCTCCCACTCGACAAACAGCAACAACAGCAACGACGGCAACACAACAATGGTGGAAAATTGTATCCATTTAGTAGCAGCAAAGTGTTTTATCACAAAGCATTTTCTCTATCTGTCTTACATTCTTATGCAGCCATTTGTTATGATTGAAGGATCTGATTCTAGAATGGGAAAAAGGCGAAACCGAGTAAATATATGCAAATGAGAGCGAAAGCGAACAGAGAAAGAATGCAAATGAAAATAGAAATACAAGTAAATCGTAATTTTCCTGTCATTTTTCATGACAAACATACCATCGTCTTCCCACTGCTTTGTCTTGTTGGGTTTCTACCACCGCAGTCACGCGCAACATTTTGTTTGCCACTTTTATTCGGATGGCATGTAGATATATTTTTTAATAGCTGCCGTTTGGAACAATAACAATTTTAATAAATCATACAGGAATTTAGCGTCGCTGTCGCTTTTGTGCACGTTCACTTTGTGCGCTATAACATGCACGTACGTACGTGTGTGTTCTGTGTTTTTTTTTCGAGAAGAAAGAGTTAGTGGATATATGGGCTAGTCTCCTCTAGCGCAAGTAACATATTTTATGAACGCGCGCGCGCGCGGGGTTTTCTGAAATTGAAAGATTTACTCATTTCATTTATCTGTTCGATGGGAAAGAAGAAGAAGACGACAACGACGACGACGAAAAAAATGGAACAAACGAAAATTCGGTGGAACGTGCGAAAGGATTTTGTGACAGCTGTGCGAGCGCAGAAACAAATGATGCACATTCTGAATGCTGCTGTTCGCATTAATTTTTATGGCTCTGACTAAGGGAAAGGGTTCGATCAAAGCGACACGGAACACTCCTACCATTCTCCCCACCGTACTAATATGTGAAACGGGTAGTAAGTAGTAGTATGTATTATACAGACACACACATTCGGCGTGTAAATCAAATGATAGAACACGCGTACAACATCCAATTTATTGTCTCGATGTGTGTGGAGTTTTATGAAATATTGGATAATTTTATTAAAATTGCACACACTTTTTTTGTTCTTGCTCCACTCGGTTTGGTTCCATAGTCAAACATCGCGTTCATGATACACCGTTGTTGTTGTTGATGTTGTGTTTGTTCATGCCAGGTTTGTCACCGGGAATGTGCTATATCAAAATTCCAGATGCGAATTATTTCATCTTCCATGCAGACATCACTCTTGCTTCGCCGAATTTTGATTGACAACTTTGTTGTTTCTGCTGATAATTTGCGCGAACATCTTCAAAAAGTTTCTGTTTCGGTTTATGACATCGCAACAATGTTTGTGTTTATTTGTAAACGAAGCCGATTCCATTCTTTGTTTAGCAGCAGACAAACTTGTGTCTTTGTTTCTCGCTATCGCTCGTTCTCTGTGTACGACATTTCTTCACATCGAAATAAGTTTCCGAACCTTTTTCAACTTGATTATCTGCCATAACAGTCCATTTTTTTAGAAGATGGCCGATTTTTTCCCCGTTTCCTCCTTGTTTCGAAGATGTATCTTTTATACCATTTTCCGTACTCTCTTGAAGTTAAAAGGCACAAATTCCAAACGGCATTGAGTTGTGTATTTGTGTCCATTGATGTGTGCTGAACTAACAGTTCTTTTGCTCCATGGGGGCACATAGCTTTACTCAAGTTGCTCTCTTTGTCGCTTCATGTTTCTGTTTGATTTTTTCTTCTTCTTCCTTCATTCCACATCGAACTCGTTACCTTTTTTTTCCATACGTATAGATATTTGCCAAAGTTGTAGCGGAGTCCTAATTGACGTGTAAATAATAAATTATCTTATCACAAAAATGAAGTAGTTTATTTCCTTTGGGAAACGGGGTAGGGGAGCAGACGGCAGAGGAAAGATTGGTTTCCCTTATGATCGATCAAAATGACGGTAAGTTCGTTTTTGTGGCCGCGTACATCAACATCTTTTGCGTTGAAAAGTTTTTTTTTTGCTCGTTATTTTATCAATTCGGGTCGATTCGTAGGACAGCAAACGCAAAACAGATGAGGGAAATCAAATACTCTTATTTACTTACAAATTGTGGTAAATATTGATCTAGTTTATTTGCCCGTTATCAATCAAAAAACAAAATTCTTCCTACTTTCCCTTTAACTTATACATTCTTTGTTGTTCTTGTTGTTGTTGTGGGAAATTTTCTTTTCTTTTTCTCATTCGCCTAAAGAAAAAAACTATTTTTCTGTTTAAATATTAACGTAACATTTTGATAAGTGTACGATATTCAAATCATTGACTTGTAGCAACAAGCAAATATTTTCATTTAAATAGAAGAGGAAAAAAACGAATAGCTGTAAACCTTTTTTTTTCAGTTGGACAGACTATAACGCGAAATGGAGACGCTATGAAATATCTACCCCAGATTAATTGAATATTTTCAACGAAAATATTTATCACTTCACACTCCGTGTATTTATTTATGTTAAAAATGTGTACTCACCTCACCATATATATCGCCATACTTTGTTTTAATACACGTGAATGAGAGAAAAAAATGCTGAGAAAAAAAAATGAGCCGTCAAACAATTCAATTGCTGAAATTTTTGTCACTTAGTTGATAATCACCGACAAAAGTGCTAAACGTTTCGTTTTGTTTCATTTAACTTTAACAATATTTAGCAAATTCTCACCAAATTGATGGCAGTCTGAAAAATGTTTGTTTAAATCAAATGAGGAAAAAAAGAGAAAAAAAACAGACAATCGACTCAAAAATCCAGTCATCACATACACACCATATTATCACATGTATCGCATTTTCGGAGCTGTCGAGGAAAGAAGAAATTCTCGTCTTACACCGTCTGCGAGACTTTCTGCCTCTTTGTCTCTCATTCCCCCGTCTGCCGACTGAAAGTGGTAACAAGATGCTTAGCAAAAGTTTAAGTGTACTCATCCATCGAGTGGCATCGATTTCCCCAGTTTCCGTTGCAAATGCTTCGCATGACAGCAAGTGTATTTGAAACGACAGTTTGAAAACTTACCAATAATAATGTCACATATCGACTACCGCAATCGAATTCATGAGCCTGAAAAACGATGCAATGCAATTCGAATTTTGTGTGTTTTTTTTAGAAAATCAAAAGAAAAACATATTTTATTCATCATAAGCTTTTGTTACAGAAGGCAAACAAACCTAATCAATACTTCATTCATAAAATTTGTTGTTTTTTTGTGACAGATTCCTTTTCTCTTGTCGAATGAACATTATAATCTTTTTGGTGTGGAAAAAAAACTCGTTTGTATGTGGTTGGTATGTAATTGGTTTTCGGCTTTACAAAGAGCTCGAGGCAACAGAGAGAGAGAGAGAGAAAAAAAAGAAAATATTGCGATAAATTTTCCAAGACATTTTTTTTTCAACTTCTAAAATATATCCATTCATTTTCAATTCATCATATTTTATGTTTGTGTCTTCTTTTCATTCTCGTTTACTTCAGTGCGGTACAAAATTGCTTTTTTTCTTTTAAACATTATTGATTGTTCTTGTGTTTTATCATTAAAATAGTTCTACAGCTAAAACAGATAAACGGCTAAAGGAACGGCGTGCAAAAAAATTGATTACGACGCGTAATTGTGATAAATAATGAAGATGCCAATGGGACTTCGAAAATATTGTTGTTTTTTTTTTGTTTTCCTGCGAGACTTAAACATTTAAACTAAAAATAATAACTTTTAATTAATTATTCATGGAGGAGATGCATTTTTCAAATATCTTTTTAAAGAGATTATTGCAAAGGTTCACCTTTTCTTATTACATTTTTTTGGCATTAACTGAGGAGCATAGCAAAAAAAAACCAGTTGAATGTCACTGATTGTGTGTACAACAAAGGTGATGGTTCAAAATGGGAAAATAATGACGATAACACTGGGATTTAAACTTGAAATGGTCATAAATTTGTGTGGCCACTGCATGCATTTGGGGCAAGGGGATGGTAGGAGTGTGGAACGCAGCCAAATTCTTAAAAGGTATTTGTTTGTGTGTGCGGTGTGGTAATTGTATCATTCAGTAGCGCGATGTCACTTAAACTATAGCCTGAATCAGCAGTTGTTGTAGTGCATATAGCCATTTTGCACGCAAAGGTTACGGCTCGCATCCGTAACACCCGAACCAATATCGAATTTCTTTTCGCTGTCAAAGTATGTGGAATGTTCACCGCTGTATTTGTGCGCATCGAAACCATTGTAACCGTTGACATTGTAGACATTGCTGGGCATTTCCATTGCTGGTAATTCATTGCCGAACTCTGTGCTCTGGCCACAACTGTAACCATTATACAAATCATTGTAGATATCAACGGCGGTCGTCTGGTGGCCAGTATACGCGTTGGACGTATACATCGGTGAAACCTTTTCGTTGACAAAATCATTGGCAGTGGCTCCGCGATACATGCTGCTTTGTGTGTTGTACAAATGTGCTGGCAAACCGTTGCCCACATTCATCGCCGACAAATCGGAATTGATTGGTGTCGATGGTGGTGTGAGGACGCATGGCGTTCGACGATGACCCGCATTCACTGGAATTTTTAAATTGATTAACATATTATAGGCGAATCGAAAGGAGGGAGGGTTGAACGAGAAAAAAAAATCGAAAAAAAGTCTTTCGGAATTCAAAACAACAATTTTGAATGGAATCCCATTTTCCGATCTCAAGTTTTGCGGAGCACGCAAAAAAAACAGAAAGTCATTTCAAGCATCAAGTTGAAAAACTTCAAAACAACATAAAATTGAAGGGGGAAAAAACTTTTTTTTCTGCTCGTGTTGTTACGAATGGAAGTAGGAAAAAATGACTTACCGATTCCCGTTGCGACCGTATTGTTCACGTGAATGCTGTTGTTGTGATTGTGATTGGTGCTGTTGTTGTTGTTTCCGTATGCGTTGCAGTGATAGTCAAAGGGCATGTTGTCCGGCAGCTGATAACCAAAGTTTGGCTGCAGTGATGATGCTACACAACATAGGAAATAACATGAAATTTGTTTTTAGTTTTCAATTTCTTGGTAAGAGAGAAATGTTCAGAAGCAACTGCGGAAAAAATAGCTCAAATCCCAAAAAAGCCCTAATTTTCGTAGGAAATTATTTGGAAAAAATGAATAAATGTAAATTTTCGACAAATAGACACAATATTTTGATTGATTCAAACCTTGATCTGATACTGGCGACACTGATTCATCAATGTACAGTTCGTTGCCTGAGTTGTTTGGCGATGCTGATGATTCGGACAAGCGGCTGTATTCTTTCAATTTAGTGGCTTTTTTGCTGGTCGTTGAGCGTACCGGTTTGTCAGCAATTGACGACGATGCTGCTGACACTTTGGACTTTTTGCGTCGCGGCTGATACTTGTACTGTGGATGGTCTTTTTTATGCTTGGCACGTAGCTCTTCCGCTTTTCGCTTGAACATCGCTTTCTTTTCCTCCGTGAAATTTCTATGAAAATATGCAAATGGCACACGGGAACAGAAACGATCGAAAACAAAAGGCATTTAGCATTAAAATGGGAGCGTTAACGAAGAGGAAATGAGCGCATTGGGCACGCGTTTATTCTTTCAATGAGTTGAACAAGTTTCATTCAAAATTCCATCGCTACGTTTTTTGTTTTTATAAATATTTGACACGACACATTTTGTTCGAGTACTTGAGCGAAATTGCTTGAGCGATTTTCGATAAAATGTAAAAATTGTGGACGAAAAATGTGCCATGGACAGAAGAATCTTGGTAAAAAGAACACAATCAATACTTACTTCCATGTGGAGCCCAGAAATTTGCTCAGATCAGAGTTTTTCAGGTTGGGATTTTTCTTGGCGATCATTTTTCGGGCCTGATGCGAAAACACCATGAAAGCATTCATTGGACGCTTAATCCGCTCTTCTTTTTGTTCAGTCGTCGCTCTGCAAAGAAGAGATGAAAAAAAGCGAATGAGAAACAAAATATAAAAAAAAAATTCAATTAACATCGAATGTGTCTACATCACAGTTCAGTATCAAAGAGTGAGAGAAAGAGAATGTGTGTAGTGAAAAAACGCACATCTATACACACACACACACACACACACACACACACACACACGGTTCGAGCCACAGTATTCGCAGTAGGGCAAAATTGAAATTAAATTGTGAGCTGGGTTTATTTTTATGGGCGGGACTTATGTGTGTGCTTATATAAATTGGCCGAGAAAAAAAAACTATGAGTCGCTTCAAAAGCGTCGGACACCCAATCGAAACATTTTCTTAATAGCGAAATTCCATTACAGTAAATGTGTGTTCCAGTGCACGTTTGCCGAATCGGTCTCATCCACTCTCTATTCGTTGATCGGAATGAGTAGGCAGATGATGTGTGCAGTGCATGCGATAATCCAAGCTCGGCAACACCAAAACTTGACAACAAGATTGAAAGAAGACAACGACGTCGACGACGACGATAACGGTGAAGAGAAGAATTGAAACGATCCCAAAACCTGTCCAAAACTTTTGACAGTTTCTAAAATGACCAGAAACTTTTTTACTGCAATTAAATCACATCGTTTGCGTTACAATCGAACCATTATTACGGTTGAGGCGAAACAAGAAAAAAAAATTGAGCATAAAACAATGCAAAACCATATTTTCCACTTGTCTTGAATCTGAATCAGTTCGGGATTTTGATGAGTGTGTGTGCGTTCTTGAATTGGGGCACAAAATTTAACCCTTTATCACATTTCGGTTCCTAAAGTAACCAGATAAGCCAGACGCTATAGCTATGAAACCACTGAATATTTTTACATTCTTGTTTGGGAACAAATGTAGGGAAATGAACTAGCTTTCATTTGATACTTTACAGGCTACAATCGGCTGGCTGAATGGAAAGTTTTTTCTGTTCATGTACTGCTGTAAAAAAAATGCGAAATTATAGCAGAATTCCAAATTTTTCCTCCTCTTATCTTGTGGGTTTGTACATTCTTTTCAATTGTCAAATTAGGACTCGTAGGATCAAAACACATCAATTTAACTTTCTGCATCATTAGTTTTATGAAATTTAATTTTTTCAAGCTTTTATAGTGATTTGACACTTTTAACTCTTTTCCGATTTTCTCGACAAATACGCAATTTTTCAAAAATCTAAGTATGAGGTCTTTCTCTTTTTATCGTGGCACAAAAAATATATCAAAATGATTCAAAAACAAAAAAATTGTGCATCAAAGGGTTAATGTGTCACCAAAAGATGATTCCAATTATTATCGTTTTTTGTTGTTGTTCTCCTCTTCAAAAAAAAAAATGGTTGCGGATTCTGATAAAGGCTGCAAGAGACATCATGTGTCTGCCACTTTGACGGCAATCTGTTGCTAGACCCTTGATTATTGAAAATGTTCAGCGAAAATATGATATCGAAGCAACGGGAGAAACAAAACGAGAACATTATGTAAATGTCTTTGGCATATTTTGGTTCAGTTTTGCTGCAAAAAATTCCTAGAACATTGAATAAAAACCGACCAATTTATATGAACGGTAGCAACCGATTTCGTTTTTTTTTTCAACTTGGCTTTGAAATGAATTGTTACCAGGACTCATGATTGTAATGTGGTGTGACGGCGACAGCAATACTCTGTTGGATGGCAAATATTTGTTAAAGCAGAAAAATATAACGTGATATGTAATGCACCGCAACCACCAGCTGAATCCACTGGCAATATTTGTCTCTCATACATGGAATAGTACATACGGAATCGTATTAAATGGAGCGCACACATCGAACAAAATATACAGAGAGAGAGAGAGAGAGAGAGAGAGAGAGAGAGAGAGAGAGATGCCAACCATTTGATTTTAACGATGCAACACGATGCACTTTAGTTTTGTTTTGATACGATTCAAACACATGGCATCGACAGGCTGAACGGTGAATTGCACATTCAACGCGTGTGTCGCGCGCGCGCGAGCGAACGAGCGACCGAGCGAGCAATAAATCGGGCGGTCGGGTAGAGGAGCATATTCTCTCTGCTTTTTCATCGTGCACACGAGATGCAGATTTTTATATAAATATATTTGCCATTCAAACGGCTTATTAATGATTGATGAATCAGGAACAGATCTTAATCATTTAATTAAAAATGAATTTTACGTATGCTCATAATTCATTCTGCGCATTACACACAAATGTAGCGCATCGGTGATACTACAAAATGGTGAAAAAAAAAGTTGTTTGAATTGAATAACATATACGAAACACACTTAAAAGTCAGTGTGGGAGAGAGCAAGCGAACAGAAGAAGAAGAAAAAAACGAACGCATCATGATGTTTTCTCCCACCCGACTGCCATACGAAATCTATTAAACAAGTTGTCCGATCTTGCAAATCCATCACATATATCTCACTCTTCTAGATGAAGTATCCCATGAGCGTTTTGAATGTTCTAATTAAAACGGGAAATCTATTTCATTTTTAATTAATGGTGTTTCGTTTTGTGCTCCGCATATTTGTATTGGACGAAGCGCATTGAATATATATTGCATGCGAGCGCGCGTGCTCTCACTATCTCCCAACTCATTTGATATGTGGCAAGGGGTTCCGTGTTGAAAAATGTTGTTTGCCAAATTCTCTGTGCAACGTTTGCAAAATTTAATACAGCCGTTAAAACATGTACCTGCTGAATTCCAAAACATACTCTCGACCTGCTTTTTGAAGGTGATGTACCGACTGTACATCGATTCTGGCATTTCGGACGATTGTTGACCACCAGACGATGATGTGTCTGCTCTTGCTCTCCTCATTTTTGTTCAATTAAATAATTAATATGAATGATTCAGACTGCAAACTTTGGCCAAACACAAAAACCCACACACAAACAGGTAGACGGAAATACGGTTAGAAACCAGCAATGATAAGGATATTTAAATGTATTCGACCAAACGTCATTTGTTACAATTCAAATTGAATGTTCAACTTTTTAAAGTGAATGCTTTGGATTTCAGCTGTATTCGTTCGGTCACCCTCTTTTTTTTTCTCTCTGGTCCATTGATTCGTTCATGTATAGAATTTTAATAGGTTTTACGACACAGACACATTTTCGGTTAGAAAGAAAAATCGAAAATAAAATCACCTAATTAAATGGCAATCTTTTAGCATGTCGTTCGCTTTCTCTTTTTTCGGGTGAATCCACCGAAGAGTATTCATTTCATGGGAACATTTGCATTTTGTATGTGCTGTGGTCAATGCATGGTCATTTTGCGAAAGTAAAAATGAAATACGTCAGAGAAAACCTATCCATTTGCTTTCAATGTGATATATTTAACTCGCTGGCAGGGAAAAAACGAGCATGGATGGAGAGTGAGTGAAAGAACAGAGAAGAGAGAAAAAAAAATCATGCACAGTAAACACAATGATTCTAGCAATGTTGAGATTTGACACTTAACTTCCTAGTGGCGAAGCGTTACGAGTACGCGTAGTACTACGTTCACTAATTCCCTAAACGTAGTGGTTCGTAATGGTACGCGTCGTAACGCTTCGCCACTATGCTTAACTTCGTTTTAGTACCATTTTCTCTAAAAAAAAAGTTCAAATTTTCTATAATAAATACATATGAAGCTTTGATTTGTGATCTTATAGTACCTTTTGGACTTTTTTTTAGTACAAATGGTACTTAAATGGATTTTAGTGCCAAATTTCATATTGCGGTTCTAAAGTTAGAACCAACGTGTTTGGTGTGTGACCATGTAACGATAGATGTTTGTGAAACGATTTCTTTTTTCTCGAGCCCCAATCAAATTAATGTGAAACAAGAAAAACCGTAAATTTGTTGGAAGCGTTTTTGTTTCCATTGTTCGACCTACGGTTTGGTTGTTATAATACGTCTTCTCATAAGACAAAATAAATAACTTAAGAGCCTATTGATGGCTCACTGAACCGGGGAAATTCTAGGAAAAAAAAATCCACATGTTGGGGCACGGTTCATGTACTTTGTACCACGTGTACACTATTTTCCGAAGACCATACGAGAGATAAACGCACTAAAAACGACAACAGAAGTGGACAAAGCAGCAGCCAGCAGCATCATTTTCATCATGGTGATTTCCCTTCTCACTCGCTCTCTCGCTCTCTCTTTTTCTCTTTCTCCACATATAGTGCATTGAAATGGCCACAACCATCAAGTAAGAACCAGATATACAAAGCAAAAATGCAAACACCCCAAAATAATGGCCATACTCGCACATCAATTTAAGACAATATGAATAAAACATGCACCTAAATTCGCCGTGAACATTCGCATGGCTTTACACCGAAATGAGCGAGATCAGTGCTCTGGATCGTTCTATCTCGCTCTTGCTCTCCTTTCCTCTGATTATTTATTGCTGATACCGCTTTTGTGTGGCATGGCTCACTGTTGTGAACGAGTATTCTATTAAGCCGTGTGTCTTTGAGCCATGATGAGTGTTTAGTCAGTACAGAGATCATTTCATGTATTGTGTGGTGGCAAGCAGCAACGCAAATAGGCGCTATGATTTACTGCTGATAATTAAGACATTGTCTCAGGCATACCAGTTCATCGAAATTTCCATCAGTGAAAATGTATGAAAATCGCACAAACTCCGGGAATTTTCATTTTCCGGCTCCTCTTGTGTGCGAAATGCTTAATGTGAATTTGTGTTCATTTAGCTCCGCTTGATGGCCAACAGACCATCAAATCCAAGAATTCCGCACTCAGAGCAAAGACGATGGGCGCAATCCAATAGCACCCATACCTAGGCGCTCATTTGACTAACTGAAATGTCTGGTGTGTTCACACATTTTCCAAAGATGATTTCTCATTGGATGCAAGAAGCGGGGCAAATTTCAATGAAATAATAAACCAGCCAAGATTACAAGAAAAACAAACGACTCTAAATGACAACGACACCGAGCAAAAGCGAGGGGAGAGAGAG